CCCTCCCCCCTCTCATGTGCTCTGTCTCATTCTCTTTCTCTCAAATAAATAAATAAAATCTTTAAAAAAAAAAAAAAGAAAAAGACCCTTTCAAATGCGGTTTACTGGATGGTTCTTTGTGCCTTTTCCATTTCCATCTCTAACCTGTGAAAAAGAACTTTAAGAGCCATAAGAAAATGTACCCATCTGGTTGGTCAGAATGAAAACAAAACAACATTCTTCTTTCTTCGCCCCAGGGAAAATTAGGAGCCTGAATGCTGATGTTCTCACACCAAATGATCTGACAACATTTAAAAATGCATTTGCAGTATAGGGTTAACATGAGAAGAAAAAGAAAGGAACCTATCCTTTCAAACAGTCTCTGATTTCATTATAAAATTGACCAAAAAAAAATAGGACTCTTGGGATTTTTTTTCTCAGAAAATGGGTAGAACACACTTTCTTTTCTTTTGCCTTTTCTAATTTGCCTTTGTGCTCTTGACCCAAGAAACTGTATCTGATTACATATCAGAGAGAATAATCAACCTAAACTGATGACTGACATTTTAACAGACTAAACAGTCATATTTCACCACTTAAATCTTGGACAGTTTTAGTTTTCTAAGGCCTCTTTTTACAAGTGGGCATCATAAATAGCCAGCACATTGAGGGTTTAATTATGAAATCAGAAGGCTTGATTCACCACCCTCTTTTCAGAGCCCAACACCTCTTCATTCTCAGATGCGATGTCTTAGAGACGCAATCACAAGCACTTACCTTGTTTATTTCCCGGTCTTCCCCAAACTTTTCCAGTGCAGCTGAGTCCTGAGTGGACTCCTGCACATCAGAAGTGACCTCCTTCTCTCTGCCTGGCAGAGTAAACTTTTCTTTCTGTTCTGTTGAGCGTTTTGATTTGAGAATGCTATTGAGATAATTTTCTGTCTCCTGCTTAGCAGATTCAAGTCTGTTTTCCAAATCCTTTTGTTTACACTTAAGTGATTTTATATCATCTTTAATAATCTTCTGTCCCACTGAAGATGTATTTTGCTTGATGGATTTTGCTAAAGCTAAAATCTTCTCTAATGTGCCATCTTGTAAATGGAGTCTATTCTCTAGTTCCTGTAAGTGGAGAAAAGATTGTCACAAAAAGTACCTCCGTTCAATTCACAACAGTTAATTGACTTTTGTAAATCACAGAGTATTCTGCTCCACTAGTGGAAAGTATAAAAAATTTACCAATTCATATCACAAAGAAGAAACTTTGAGCAAAATTTAAACTAATGTGCCATCCCAGATCAAAATCTCCAACAGATTTTATAAGACACTAGAAATTTATAAGAAGCAGCAAAGAAAATTCTCACAACATGGTTCCTGGGACGTAGGAGGCAAGCAACACATACTTGTTAAGTATATATTTTGTTCAAGATACAGCCTTTTTACACAATCAAAATACTAAATAGTAAGTGCCTACTTTGTGCAAAGCATTGAAAATAAAAGAATCATTTAGAATATACCCACATGAATCTAGTATTAATATTTACAATTCAGAGTAAAGCTTAAATCAATCTATCTAATGCAATATCTGAAATATAGCAAGAATTCAATCAATATTTACATAATGTATGAACAAATCAGGCTGATTTGAGAACTCAAGACTCAAAAGGAATCTGAGGTACTAGAGTAGCTACTGATGTTACTGTTGAAAGAGAATAAGCCTTAAAGTTAGTAGGTGAACTATACAGTATTTATCAGTCATTATCCTAATAGACTACACAGTATTCATTTATTCATTCAACTAGCAGCAAATATTATGATAGGTTTTTTTTTTAATTTTTAAAAATTTTCTAAGTAATCTCTATACCCAACGTGGGGCTCAAACTCACAACCCCGAGATCAAGAGTCACATGCTCCACCAAGTGAGCCAGCCAGGCGCCCCTACTACAACAGGTTTCAAAGTTACATAGATGAGGAAAACACAGTGGAGCCAGGTTCCCATAGTCTAGTGAGAGAGACACAGAAGTAAACAGACGATTGTAATAGAATGTGAAAAGATCTATGCTAACAAATCTGCACAGGTCACTGACACATATTAAGCTGGAAGAAGGGAGTTCCAGACTGCATTTTAGAATGACCCGGGTGTAGCCACGGGGATGTTGTCACGGAGAGGGTGGCAAGTACAGGCAGACAGCCCATTCGGAAGTCAATGCAGGGGTGTGTGAGGGGAGCGCCTGCTCTGAAGAGGCAATAATGGAGGGTCCTGGGGAAGGAACAAATTGTAGAGATATTCCGGACATGAGACAGTACTTAGTGTCTGACTAGATTGAGGAGTCTGGGAAAGGATGGATATAACAGGTTTCTGACTTGAAGCCCGGAGAGATGGTGGAAATATTCAGAGCCAGAGAACCCAGAAGAAAAAGCAGGCCTACTGGTGTGGAGCTGGGAGATGGAGAAAAGGAAGTTGATGAGTTATTTTCTGGACACGCTGAACAACAAGTAAGCGTACGACATCCAAGTAGAGATGTCTAGTGGGGTCAGAAGACCTGAGCCGTAGCCCCTATCCTGTCATTTCACCCGGGTGATCTTGTAAGTCCCTTTTCTCTCCAGAACCCAGCTTATCACATATAAAATGAGGGATCTGAACTTGATGGCCTCTGAGATTCCTTCTACCTATAACAGAGGTTCTATGTTAATTTTTCTGGAGAAGCCTGAGCTGGGCTCCTACCTAACACTTTTCTTAGTCATCCATGGCACCCAAACAGTGCCTTGGACATGATGAGCCCTCAACATCTGTCAAATGATTGCTGTTAAAAAGGGAGGTAGCCTCTCACAATGTCAGGCCATGGAGGAGAGGGCTTGCTTGATTCCCAGGTCCCTAAAAGAAAGAGATGAGGGGGCATCTGGCCAGCTCTGTCGGAAGAGCATGCGTGTGGGCATTCGAGCCCCGCATGGGGTGTAGAGATTACTTAAATAAATTTAAAAACTTAAAAAAAAAAGAAAGAGATGAAGAATTCCCACACTCAGGCCAGCAGTGCTGTTCTGAGTCTCACCCCATGAAATCTCCAATTAAGGAGCTGCCAAAGAAGTAGCTGAGAAAATGCTTTACTTTGTTCTCTTCTAGAAGACACCTCCCAGGCCTGCTTACTGTTGGCTAAGCAAAGAGTGAGAATCCAAGGGATGTGTTTTGAGGATGTGGATCAAGAGCTGTGATCCTCACTGCAAGAGGCTAGGTGCTGTTGGAGTGAGGGAGAGGATTTTGGAAGCCCTACATCTGGAGAGAGCTCTAATTTAGACCATGAGTACAAAAAGCAATAAGGTAAAAATTATACAATTCCCGTCCACCCCGATAAAGAATGCAAAACTGAAGCATTTCCCCCTGGTCCTGTGGTATCAGGTACATTCTTTGACTTCCCAGTATCTCCTGGAATCACTTCGATCTTTGAATCAAAGATCTCCAGGAGGTACAGACTGGTCATGGGTAGAACGGTCTCTGAGGGTCCGGAGTGCACAGAAATGTTCAAATTATAAATGGATGTGGTCACTAAAAAAGAACATTCCCATTTTCCATGACTAGTCAGAATCTTAATTATCTTAGTCACCTGAAGAGTAACTGGATTTCTGATCAAAGACACTGATTTGTTCATTGTAATTAATATTGATTCTGTTTTTCTTGGTTTTTTTTTAAGATTTTATTTATTTCTTTGACAGAGAGAGACACAGCGAGAGAGGGAACACAAGCAGGGGGAGTGGGAGAGGGAGAAGCAGGATTCCAGCCCAGCAGGGAGCCCGATGCAGGGCTCAATCCCAGGACCCTGGGATCATGACCTGAGCCGAAGGCAGACGCTTAACGACTGAACTACCCAGGCGCCCCAATATTGATTCTGTTTTAATGTCCATGATGTCTGGACACTGTGTAATACCTGCAGTTTCTGCAGTTTTTTCTCAACTGCTATTTGATCCACAGGCTTATCAGAAAAACTGGCAAATTCCTTGGAGATATCGTCCAATGCGGCATTCAGGTCTATGACACAAAGCTGGTATGACTGGTGTTCTTGAACATGACCTTCCAATTTTTGCACGGAATCCTAAAAATAAAACCATTGACAATTCACCAACTATGTCTCTGAATTTTCTCACTCAGAAAATAATTAAATTGTTCATAACACTTGTTTCATGAGGTTTCCTCTTGAAATAGGAATAGGGCCATAAAGTGTCCAGAGTTCTTAAGTGAAGTTTTCAGTAGTTGAGATATTTCAATGTAAAATCTCCTCCTCCCCCCTGAAAATGGCTTATTGAAATCACATTTGTTTCCCTCCATGCTTCTTTGCCTTCATTTCATTCCTGAGGACAATTTATTTCTCAAGAGGTTTACAAAACATAAATGCTTCAAATTATATAATCAAATCACAAACATCTATAATAAAGCAGCTCCCTTAATTATCCTTCTCAGTAAAACTAAATATCCACAGTTGGAAATGAGACTATATGAGATCAGCGTAACTTCAGATTCCTTTCCTAAGAATTAAATTCCAACACTGTGTGTTAGGAAAAAGTAATCCTAACTAAAGAGCGAACCCACCTTCAAGTTCTCTTCCTGAAATAAGAAAATAAGGCGGCCACACCTGATTAGAAAAGTAGTAATTATTAACTCAACAACTTAGAGTCAAGTGGGTATCTCTTTATCTCTGCACATCTCCTGCAGTCTGTATAAGCAGGATTTCTTATCCACATGATCCTTACATTGAATCTAACTTCCAGGATGCAAATTATAGGCAATTCTCTTATGAGAATACACTCCCCCGTGGCAAGCTGACATTTATCTCTTAACTCTTTTACTGCAGATCATTCAAGAGAGAGAAACTGATGGGGTTTATACAGAATAATGAATGTACAGCTGATCCTTGAACAGCAGGGGTTTGAACTATCTGGATCCAATTATGCACAGATCTTTTATAGTGCAGTACTGTAAATGCATTTCCTCTTATGATTTTTTTTAAGATTTTATTTATTTATGAGAGAGAGAGAGAAGCAGGCTCCCCGCTGAGCAAGGAGCACGATGTAGGACTCGATTGCAGGACCCAGGGATCATGACCCGAGCCGAAGGCAGACGCTTAACCGACTGAGCCACCCAGGAGTCCCTCCTCTTACGATTTTCTTAACATTTTCTTTCCTCTAGCTTATTTTATTGTAAGAATACAATGTATAATACATATAACATAAAAATATGTGTTAATTGACTGTTTATATTATCTGTAAGGCTTCCTGGCCACCAGTAGGCTAATAGCAGTTAAATTTTCCCAAAGTCAAAAGTTATACACAAATTTTCAACTGGGGGGGAGCTCAGCACCCCTAGCCCCACACTTTGTTTAAGGGTCAACTGTAAACCATTACAATGGATAGATGATGGACAAATGTATGGATAGGTAGATGCATGGATCACTTTGACACCATCACTTTCAGAGAGATACATTAAAAAATCTTAGGGGAGCATGGGTGGCTCAGTCGGTTAACCAAGTGTCCAACTCTTGGTTTCGGCTCAGCTCATGATCTCAGGGTCATGAGATGGAGCCCAGCATCAGGGTCCCTGCTCATTGTGGAGTCTGCTTGAGATTCTATCCCTCTGCCCCTCCCCTGGCCCCCTGTGAAGGTTTGTGCGCTCTCTCTCTCTCTCTCAAATAAATAAATAAATCTTTTTAAAAAAATTGTAACCCTTCCAACCCCTGAAAAGGAGAACTTGGATGAGAAAAAAATAACATCATCATCAAACAATAGGCACTGGATTCCTCTAGCAAAACTGATGCATCGAGGAGTTAGTATTTGTATCTAAAAATGACAAATTAAATGTTAAAAGTTTTTGATTTACCAAAAGAACAAAAAATGGTTCCATATACAAATATGACATAGTTATGACAATCATTTGAAATTTTATTTTGACCATTTCACCTGTAGCTGTTGGAGAAGACTTTCGTGTAGATGCTTTATTTCCAGCCAAGGCTTTTCACTGAAGTTGGGATTTTTAGTGCACTCTAAGAGGTAACTTCCTTGAGATTTTAACTCTTTTAGCAAGGATGTCAAATCTTGTGCTTTCTGGAGGAATTTCTTATAAATTTTTAACTGAGCTTTCTTCTCCTGCAAACCATGTTGCAGAGCAAAGCCCACTTCCTGTTTCTTTTTTAGTTCTGTGAGCATTAATCTCAGATCCTCCTTACTTTGCAAATACTTCTCTCCTTCTAGTAGAAGCTTTTCTTGATGGCTAAGTTGAACAAATATTTTAGAAAGGAAATGACTCTTAGCAAATTGGAATGCTTTTTGCATATTATAGTACAATATACATTATAATAAAAAGCATTAAAATAACACTAACATAAATTATTCCCAAAGACTCTTTTGGCATTAATGACATTCTAAATAGCACTAAGTTTAGCTCAGAAATCAAGATAGAAATTATTTGTAGTTTTACTTAAAAAAAATATTTTTCTTACATAATTTGACCTGAGAATAAACACTTAATAATTTAGATTCCAAACCATTACAGTTTTTATTATGCTTAAATACAATTATCTTATATTCTTCTTTCTCATATAGGTAAAATAAATAATCATTCAGTATATTGGCCAACTAACTAGTTTATACTTTCTATAACTTAAATTTAGTTTTGATCTGTCTTCCTAGAAAAAATACAAAATTCATATTTCCACTAAATAGTAAATGTATCATTTAAGATGTGATATTAATTAAAAATTTTCACCAGACTTATGTCCACTGAATTCAGGCAACATTTACGTTTACACATTTAAGAATCTCTTAGAATATATATTTAAAAGCATAATTATTCTACAGTAATACCATAAAGACACTGAAATTGTCTGGGGGTAGGGAGTTTTGGTAAGAAGCAGAGTGGTGAAGGTGGAATGATAGACAGTGCTAATTTGTTACCAAGAACTCCATGGGTTGATGAACCAGCTGAAGTGAACACTACCACAGTTATGACAGTGTATTTTCTATCTGATCCAGAGAACTATTCATCTTCATTTCTGCCTCTGACATTGTGGATGCCCCTGACATTACTGACTTTCTCTCCAAGAGATATTCTATCCAAATCCAGGAGGCAGACAAAACATACTTGTTATGGCTTCACGGTGCGATGAAAAGCCATGAATAAGTGATGGCATTGCCCTTTACCTTAGATATGTGTTGGCTAAATGGACTGTGTTGTCCCACTGGTTCTTGATATCAGTAAGGGTCTTTGGAGCCAACGGAGCCTTGCTGCCCTCAGCCTGACTCATGATGGTCTGTATTTTAGCGTCCCCTTCAGGCTTTAGTAAAATGATTTCCTGAATTAAATAAAAAAGATCTTAGAATCTCATTTGCATTACTTAGGGAAAGTACATATGGTATCTTTTGATTTATATACATTATATTTAGATTCTAACTGCTGAGATTTCAAAATTATCTTTTCATTTTTATATATGCCCCAAAGACAATGTTATCTCCTTCACATGATACAGAACTGGTTCTCAACAAATATTTTTCAGGTTGATCTCATTGTATTCCTGCTCTCCTCCTGATTTTCAACTGCCTTCAAATAAGACAGATGCCCAAAAGACCCTGGAAAATCCTTCTTCCTAACCACTCCATTATTTATTGATAGAGAGTTAGGGTAACAACCGAACACAACATTTTTATACACTCAAGATGAGACTTAGGGCTTCCCAGAGGAAAATGCATTGCCCTTTGTCAACTCTTGTCCCTCAGCTACAACATAATTCCCATTCCCTGTTCTTCTCTTTCCCTCCTTTGCTCTAAACAATCAAGTTCCTCCCTAATTGGAAACGCTACTCCAGATTCATCTCCCCTGGAAAACCTTTCACATATAATCCCAATTACTTCAGTAAACCTCACCAACACTTACAGCTCACTATGCAGAACCATTTCTTCCCGTAACAATGCTTTGATTAACGTAATTTCAATCCTTCCAGGTTCCTTTTAAGCACATGAGCGTCTGTCCCCTGCATTTTTAACTAACAATGTCTATCCCCTTAGATTAAAAGGGGGCCGGGAGGAGCTTGAGACTTCCTTGCCCTCTGCCACCCCCTCAGCACCTAATAACCTTTATGAACCACACATATTTGCTGTGAAGAAGCGTTCCTCTCCAGCCCTGCCCTTGACTATGCTGATGCCTCTCTGTACTGATATATATTCTTTTTACATCCTAGCAAACTCCCACTGCCACAGCTCCGCAGGCACTGCTCTTACAAAGAGAGGATATACCTTCTCTCTTCTGTCTGCTTGGAAATAATTTTAGATCCATCACAGCCATTCTGTCTTTTAAGCTCAGTTATCTGAATGCCTTCAGCCATTCCACAGTAATCCTATTTTCCATTAAGAAACAAATCTTTGCAGTTTTCCTCTAAACCTTTTAAAAATTAGAGTTCACCCTGACCTTTGAAATTTAGTTTTCATAGTTATACCTTTATTTTTTGGATTCTTTCCTCAAGTGGCATTTTGCCTTCAGATGAATTCAAAACCATAAGGGACTCTTTAATCCCTGCTATCCAGTGAATTATATCATGCGCAAGATCATTAAAGTGCTGGTCTTCCGTAGGAGGTAACTTATCCTCTTCATCAATTTCACATAATTGTCTCAAAAATGTTTGGAATCTATCAATCAAATGTGTCGATTCCATTATTATTTCTTCTTCTTCAGTAAGCCCATATTCCTTCAAAGACCTGTTCAACTGGGCCAGAGATTCAAACTGTTCCCTGTAAATTGCAAACATCACTGAAAGTTTATAGCAGTCACAACACCACGTAAGAAACCATGTCAGCAGAAAATATATTCATACAAGATCAGCTCTACCTCTTTCTAGCTACAGCTTCGCAAAATAGCTCAATTTTCTCTCCTGACTTTTCCATTTCTTTCCATTTCTCTTCTTGACTAGTCAACCACTCGCTCAGATTTCTGTGGTCATCCTGGAGTCTAAAAGAACATTACATATGTTAAAATATAAAGTAAGCAAAAAGTGTGTCTATGAAGAGAGGGTTGGCATGACTTTTGTAAGCTAACCAGGTTTTTACTACCCTTTTTTGTTATTCTTTAGGGAAAATATAATTTGTAACATTAAAATCTGAACAGTAATAGCCTGCATTAGAGTGGGATTCTATAAAGCAATGAGCTACACAAATGTATCATCAAGAGCAGGAAACAAACAGAAAACATTTTTGGATTCTCCCCTGAACTATTACTATATTAGATAATTTGAAGAATTCTCTTAACTTCTATCTTCCTAGAGACAAACTTAGATTTGAAAAGATGTATTTTATTTGTGAAATTTGTGTGTATTGTATATCCCAACGTTAGCTGTACTGAGGCACAAAACATATAAAGGTACCATTAGAAAACATGTTACTTAGATATTGCCTTTATTTCCTACCTCAGTAGCTGCTTCAAGTGGTCACCAAGCTCCTTTGCTCGTGCCTGGCAAATGGACTCCATTTTTTCTAATTCAATTTCTTGATTTATAATCCAACTATTAAGCTCCTTAACATGTGCTTTGGGCAGATGCTTCTTCACATGATTCAATACAGTTCTCATCTGCTGTATTTTACTGCCTCTTCCTTCAAGAGTCAAGAAATCCTTAAGAAAGACAGAAAGTCAGTGATGTTCTACTGGCAAAGTCAAAGTGTGGTCTCTACAACCCCCATGACACTTTCCAAGCCAGTACACAGACATGCCATCTTTTTCACATCTAATATAAAAAAAGGAGCTATGGGGATACGGCTAACTTCAATGGCAAATGATCGGAAGATGATTTGTATTAGTTGTAGAATGTGTGTGTACATCTGACTTACTGGAAATGGCATCAAGCAAAATAATGCAGGGCCACCATGAACGTCAGTAGGAATAAGACTGGGAAAGTTGCATTTTTCTTTCCTCAACTTCTAAATACTTGCTCCCTTCTGGTAATCAACATGTAAACCTAAATAGACAATTCTCTATTTAATTTTGTCCAAATCAGAATTTTATTTCAATGTTTGTGGGTCAAGGTTTGAGCATCAATTGCTAAGACCCATGCAATGGGTAAAGTTAAAGGCAAAAAATAAAAAAAGTTGGGGCTTAAACTAAAAAAGAGAAGAAAGGCAATTCTATCAATAAACAACAGTAGCATCAAAGCAAGGGATCAAACAAAGAACATTTAGTGCCACTCATAAGCTTGAAAGTATGACTTATCATCAACCCTAAAGTACTAGATAATCTAACCTAAAGTGACCAAGATTTAAGGATGCCATATGCATTTTAAATGCCCCCATGCACATTACCTTTTATTTCAGGCTTCCCTCCACCATAGTTCAACCAGCTTGTATTAAAGTTCAACTGAGATTTTTTAAAGAAATATTATTCAGAAAAAAATAATAAAAAGTTAAGAGATCTCTCAAGAAAGTAAAGGGATTTCAAAATCCACACTAGGTAAAGACGTATTTCTTATCAAATATAATTTTAGTTTGACTGGATTTACCAGTAAACACTAAGTTAAAAGGATCTTACAATAGGTGTGAAAGTAGAACTTGTTTAAGTGACTCGCACCCCTGCCCAATATATATGGAGTTTCAAAATATTTGGGGGAAAGTTGGTTATTTGGAAACATTATCTCTGTAGAGAAACTAGTAAGTCAAAGTAATTAATTAACAAATTAATTATTTTGAGAGAGAGAGCTTGAGTGGGGAGAAGGGGAGAGGGAGAGACAGAATCCTAAGCAGGCTCCACTCATCATGGAGCCCAAGGCGGGGCTTGATCCCACAACCCTGATATCATGACCCGATCCGAAATCAAGTATCAGAAGGCTTAACTAACTGAACCACCCAGGCACCCCCAAAGTAACGATTTTATCTATTTAAATATAGTTCTCTGTCTCTAGTATTTTTGTTTTCATAAATTTTGATTAAAATTTATATACATATATGTACATATCTTACAGAAAGTTTTTGTAGCTTTTGTTCCACACTCTTTTTTGTTTCTGATGATTCAAAACACTCTTTAAGGTTCATTTTAATGTTGCCAAACCAGTCATTAAAGTTCTTGCACTGATCTGCAGGAAAAAACAAAGGAAGCTGTATTCATTCAAGAGAGACTTCAGACACCTTGTTCAAGTAAGAGACTTTGAAATTTGCTTTGCATGACATGGCTATAGGTCATTGTATAAAGTGGTAATAAGTTGAAACCCAACTCTGAGGCTAACAGATTCTAGAGAGTAATTGTGGTATATTTTCTTTTTCTTTCTTTTTTTTTTTTTAAGTAGGCTCCACGCCCAGCATGGAACCCAATGCAGGGCTTGAACTCATGACCCTGAGATCAAGACCTGAGCTGAGATCAAGAGTCGGATGTTTAACCAACTGAGCCCACAGGTGCCCCAAATTGTGGTATATTTTCTATGCCAAACCTCCTTTCCAAGCACACAGGACACCCAAAGGCACTTGCAGGGGCAGCCTGCTCACAGACATGTCCCCGGATTCACTCACTATGGTGAGCAGGTCAGATGTGAAAATGCTGGTGACCTTCTTTCATGAAATAAAGATTTGGGACTTGAAAGAAATAGATGTTATTTACAATAAGCATAGATCAGTGGGTGCTTCCCCCCAAAAGAGTTATCTGAATAAATCCTAACTAAATAAATCCCTTTCCTTAACTAGAATCTCTGCAACCATTTGTAAGTAAAGCTTAGATAAGCCTTCATGTTCACAAGACTTATTCAGACTTCAAGATTCCCAGAAACAGTTAAGAGAAACATTGCACTCACCATTCAATAACTTAGAAAAGTGATCTTGCAAAACACTTTTTTTGGTATTAAATAAATCACTGACACTTTCATATTGCTTTTTTAATTCAGAGAGCTCAGGAGTCAGACAACCTATTTGATTCTCAAGTAACATCATACTGTGCTTTTGCTGTAGGATTTGCTGCTGTATCTCCTAAATACATAAACAAACAAACAACAATTAAGTCTCAAAATGAGCTCAACTTACACAAAGCATAATAGATCTCCTTTGTTTTTGTAAAAATCTAAATGATTTTCTGTTGGGTGGACTCGCTTTACCTTAGCCAGTAAATATATAACACAATGCAATTTTAATATCAAATAATTACTGCCCCCAAAGCAATTCAAAGGTGAAACTGCTAACTATATGACAAATTGTCTTTCTGAGTTTTTGCCCCAACTTTCATTTTTTAGTAACTATTTTCATTAACCTCAAGAGGTCAAATTTATCAGAAATAAGGGTGAAAATAAATCTGAACCACAGAAGAGAAACAGCTGGGACATACCTCTAGTTTAGTAAAGATCTCTAAGCTGTCGGAAGGAGACAGGGCTTTTAAGAGAGACTCGGTCATTCCAATCTGGGTCTTGGCTTGGTCAAGATCTTCCCTTAGCTCAGCCGTGCAGCCACTGAGAGCAGAGAGGTTGGGTTCTCCCACTAAATGCGTTTTTACATTTTCCATCTTGTTTAAAATGGAGGACTCCATGACCTGAAATCATGAAACATATGACTTTATTTAACTATTTAACTATTTTAAGACAACTGCATTGCTAGAGAATGAATTGAGGGACTGCTTCCTTTCAATGCGAAATTAATTCTTCATTGTTCTACATCACTGATACAATTCCAATTGTTTAAAAAAGAGTAATATGAAAAACTGAGATTGACATTCGGACTTTTCTTTCCAAAAGACTAATTTGAATCCTTCCTCCCGAAACAAGTTTTATCTAGCGTATCAATTGCGGTGCCATCTCATGACATTCATTTGAAAATATATTAAAATATATAGAAAAAAATTAAACCTGCATTTACTGTTTATTATATGCACAGCTTTGTGGTAAGCACTTTATGTACAAAATACAGGCTTTAGAATGTTAAGTAACTTGCCCAAGATCACAAAGCTAGTAGGTGGCAGAGCCAGGACCCCACCCAGAAAGTCTGACTCCGGACATCACATTCAGCCACTGTGCACTCTGATCTAAATAAAATTGTAAGAAATCTCTTCACACAATAGAAAACCACACTTGGGGCAATCTCCCTGCTTCTGCATCTACCAATTAATAAACACAGAATCACTTGAGCCATATTCTCCTTCCTATGGCCAAAAGACACTCAAGAGGAAACCCTTGTTACTTTACACCTCTATACAGGAGTCCTGGAAATAAGTGAAATGAGAATAAAATAATACAAAAATAGTATGTATTCTAAACAAATATAATGAACTATGCCAACTATTAAAAATTTAGTTGGATTTAATGTAGGAACTGAATGAAGGTGAACTAAATAATGATCCTAACTTTATTTTAGTTTTAAGATTTAGAATTCTGGTTTATGAACATTATTTTTTTAAAGATTTGTTTGTTTATTTGAGAGAGAGAGGGAGAGAGCGCAGGGGGGAGGGGCAGACGGAGAGGGAGAGAGAAACCCAAGCCGACTCTGCACTGAGTGCAAGTCCAATGTGGAGCTCAATCCCATGACCCTGAGATCAGGGCCTTAGCTGAAACCAAGAGTGGGACGCTTATTCGGCGGCACCACCCAGGTACCTCTGAGCATTACTTTAGAGTGCTTTAATTGCAACTGTCAAATAAAAATGCTCTTACCTGCAGTTCAAGGGGTATTTCACTGCTTTGAAGGAGACACTGGATTTTAGCCACTCTTTTAGAAAACTCTGAAGATTTTTGTTCATGGGCTTGTAACTCTTCCTATAACAAATAATGTTAATGGAAAATATCTTTTTACTTTATACTTTATTTTCTGGCACCCATGATTACTATTATTATATACAGAAACTGAGAGGGCCTTTGAATTTCCCCCAAATCACCTGTTTTTTTTGAAGGAGTCCTAGGAGTTATAAACCCAAGTGACTTTATGAGTCAGGCAAATGTTACAACTGAGTGAAGCCTTCTAACTAGAAGACGACAGAGGCGGTCAGGCTTCTGCTACACAGAATACAGCACCTGAATTGCATTTCATAGATCGGTGCAAACTGTGCCATCTGCGCATGCGCGCGCGCGCACACACTCTGTTGGCAGAATCTGGCCCACAGGCTGGCAGTTTACAATCTTTAACTCCAAATTTTTTTTTTTTTCTTAAAGATTTCATTTATTTGACAGGGGAGAGACACGGCGAGAGAGGGAACACAAGCAGGGGGAGTGGGAGAGGGAGAAGCAGGCCTCCCTCGAGCAGGGAGCCCGATGTGGGGCTCGATCCCAGGACCCCAGGACCCCAGGACCGTGACCCGAGCCGAAGGCAGACGCTTAACGATTGAGCCACGCAGGCACCCCTAACTTCAAATTTTTAAACAACCTGCATATCAAGGCATTTTTAAGGGACTTACTCATTTACACTCGAAAATCATAATTTCTATCACCATATACAAAGGAAACTCATAAATCTCTACACATTTTTGAAAACCTTTTTCAAATGTATAAAAATGGATATGTGAATTTAAAAGTGGATAAAATAACAAACATTAGAGAACAAATGAAGCATTAGACCTGGCATACTACAAAGCCTTCATGCACACAGACATACTTTTCTATTACACCGAACCAGATATAATTGCTAATATTTGACTGTTTTCTGACCAACAAAGATTGAGATTTCATGCGATCCAAGTGAATAAAACATAAATAAGCTATTAGAAAGAACTCTTCCTAGGGTTAAAAGAGATAACTTAAAATCTTTCCAAATGGCAAAACCAGAGATTAAGGTTTTAAAAACTAGCCTTTTTTGAAGCTCTAATAAGATTTTCATACTTGGCCTGGTATTTTTTTCTAATCTTTTGTAAGGAGAGACTGCTTAATTCAAATTACGAAGGTTACCCATAATCGTGATGTAGATCAGGGGCTAACAGTCTAAGGGCTGGCAGTCTATTTTTATAAACAAAGTTTTATTGGAACCCAGTTACTTCCAAGCATTTATGTATTGTCTATGAAAGCTTTCAAGCTACAACATCAGCATTAAGCAGTTGTGACAGTGACCAAATGATCTACAAGCTTAAAATATTTACCATTTGACCTCTTAAGAAAATGTCTGCCAACCCCTGGGACCAATATTGACCACCTGGGAACAATTATGCATTTTGATGGGGCTTCTTCTAGGAGTTATTAACATTTTTTATACCATAAATGCCTCTGATAGTCTGGTGAATCCTGTGGACCCTTTGCATAACAGTATTTTAAAAACAAAATGTGAGATAAATTATGTAGGATTATAAAGGAAAACAATTATATTGAGTTACAGTTATCAAAATATTAAAAGTAATTATTGCTGTAGTAATATATATGTTTCTATATTAATACCTTAAATAATAAGAACTAGAAGTGACACTACTAAATACCATAATTTCAAAGTAGTGATAAAAGGTAACAGTTACATCTGGATAATGATTCAAAAATATCTGTGATTTTCTTGATAACAAAGTCACACAGAACATTCATCCAACTATGTTTGTTGACTACATTCATAATTGGAACCAATACTACATTTTGGTTAGACATTCATAAAAATAAAGATGCAATTTTTCCCACATGAGGTCACTTTATCCATGAACCACTTGGGTGTCTGTCAACCCCAGATTAGTAATACCTGCTAACACCGTCCTAGATATCACAAAGGAAACAACAGAAAGGTCCCACTCAAGGGATAATGAAAGAAATAAGACATTTCTTTGTGATTTCTCTACTCTGCTTCAAGAAAGCAAGCTCCATATCAAACATCAGCTGTGCACAAAAAGCATACATTATATCTCGGTTACAAATTACCTTCAGTTTTTCTCTTTCTTCTTCAGCCAGTTGATGTAATTCCATTTTTCGAAGGACCTTTTCAGTCCACTCATCAATGACATTTTTTAAGTTAAAAAGTTTGTCCCATAAAGCTAGAGCTCGACCAAGATTTTCATAGTAGTCTTCTGTCTTCTCATTTATCTACCATAATTAAAAAATAGAAAGAACACATTTAGTGGTAAAAAGTATAAAAACCATTGTTTCAGACTCTATTTTAAAATAAAAGTTTAGTTTACCTTTGCTTTTAAATAATTTGCTTTACTTATCAACAAAAAATGTGCTTTAACATATCACGTAGTTCTTCCTTCCACAAAAAAAACTTTGCTGCCACTTATAGGCAACTCAAAGCAATAGTCTTCCTAATTTCTAAACCATAAATTAAAGGTGCTTTTAAAACACAAGAAAATATTACACGGACAAGTTCTTACTCTGTAATTCATAAAAATAAAATTATTACTCAACCAAAACTGTAATATATAAATATATAGTTGAACATGAATTTCTCGAATGGTTTCTGTATTAATTAATTTTAAATAAGTTGAGTATAAGCTTTTATATCTCAAAGATGATAGACCCATTTGTTAGTAGCGTCCAACTCTGGGGGTGAAATTAATTCCTAAGTCATAAATTTTATATTATTTGAACATTTTACACAATAAACACTTTTGAATTTTATAATTAGATAAAAATATTAAAGATACAACAGAAAAGATCGATTGGCTACAAAATAAAATTTTTAGTGAATTAAACTGTCACTCACATCAAGCCATCTATCCACAATAATATTAGCTTCTTTTTCAAAAGGAGGCTCTTCAAAAATTCTCATTTTATTTAGATGAAATTGTAGATTTCTGCAGATCTGGTTAATCTTGTCTACAACTTCTAAATGTTCACTAAATTCTTCTTTGACAATTTCAATCTGTAAAAAAGATAGGTAACATGTTTTTGATATATTTACATAGAAAAACTGGTAAGAACCAAAATTCTATTATTGGCTATTCATAACAGAGTATTTCCTTTGTACATTATACTTTTGTAAAGCAAGCTGTTATTTTCACACTTTCTCAATAAAAAGTTTTTAGAATCCTAACCATCTCATTTAACAATAATGCTACACCCAAATTTCTTCCCACTCTGCATGATGAAATAATTATAATCATCTAAAACCATGTTTCTTGTCCATATGAAATAACAGTCTACCCCAAAAAAGCACCTTCATTCAATAGTATAAAAAATGGCAGATCCTAGATTCCTCTAACAGGAATCATCTTTGGAGTGTTGAAGAACCTATATGCTCATCTGAATAAAACAGACAGAACTCTAATACATCTTTAAATTTTTTTTTTTAAAGATTTTTATTTATTTATTTGACAGAGAGAGAGATAGCGAGAGCAGGAACACAAGCAGGGGGAGTGGGAGTGGGAGAGGGAGAAGCAGGCTTCCTGCCGAGCAAGGAGCCCGATGTGGGACTCCATCCCAGGACCCTGGGATCATGACCTGAGCCGAAGGCAGACGCTTAACGACTGAGCCACCCAGGCGCCCTCTAATACATCTTTAATATGGTTTCAATTTTAATCTTCCATGATTCTAACTCCACATTACTTCTAACATGGAAGGTGAAACACTACTTTATCAAAAGGCCAATGATCTTAAACTACAAAATAAAATTTGAGAGCTGACTAAATGTAATCTTCATGTTTCACTCAGCTTACCAGTCTTACCTGAGCATTTTAAACAATTGTATAAAATTTGAAAATAGATTTCTCATAAGCAAATATCTAAAAAAATATATACACCTGAGGAAATTTCTGGAAATACAGAGTAGATATAATCTTCCCCATTCTTCCCATTAAGTACAACTAAAAACCCTGGATATCATATATACCTTCTTGAACAACTGGGGGCATCATCTCTCGAGCACCAACTTGGTGGTAAGTTCCCTGCATTTTCTTTTTTCCCTCAGATATCCCTGAGCGTGTGCTGAAGCAGCGCGGGGAAAAAAAAAAAAGTCCTAAGGGAAGCTTGCTCTCTTCAGCCAGAGAACCAAAAATGGGACAATCTAGCATGACAGAAAACTTTTAGAAAATAATCACTCCCTAGGGCCAAATAACATAGAAAAAGATATGAAGAGAGAGTTCACCAAAGATGACATACAGATGGCAAACAACCACAAGGAAAGATTATCAATACCATTAGCAAATTAGGAAAATGCAAATTAAACCATAACGTGATACCACTACATACCTATGAGAATGGCTTAAAAAAAATGGAGACAATATCTAATGCTGGCAATGATGCAGAGAAACTGGATCACTCCACATTACTGATGGGAATAGCTAGGCAGTTTCTTTAAAAACTAAATACACAATTAACATACAAGCCAGCAACTGTACTCCTGGGCAGTTAATCCTGAGAAATAAAAACTTCTATTCACATAAAGACCCCTACACGGAGGTTTATAGCAGCTTTACTCATAATAGCCAAAAATTATAAACAACCTAGACGTCCTTCAGTGGTGAATAATTAAACAAACTGTGGTTACAACCATACCATGGGATACTACACAGCAAGAAAAAGGAACAAACTATCAATACACACAAGAACCTGAATGAATCTCCAGAGAATTATGCTGAGTGAAAACAGCCAATCCCCAAAGGTTACATACTGTATGTACACACAGGAGGGAAACAGGAGGGTTCTAAAATGACAATACGAGGGGTCCTTGTGGTGATGGAAATGTTCTTTATCTTGACTGTATCAACGTCAGTAGCCTGAGTGCAATATTGTACTATGTACTTTTTTTTTTTTTTAAAGATTTTATTTATTTATTTGAGAGGGAGAGAATGAGAGAGAGCACATGAGAGGGGGGAGGGTCAGAGGGAGAAGCAGACTCCCTGCCGAGCAGGGAGCCCGATGCGGGACTCGATCCCGGGACTCCAGGATCATGACCTGAGCCGAAGGCAGTCGCTTAACCAACTGAGCCACCCAGGCGCCCCATGTACTATGTACTTTTATAAGATTTAACACTGGGGAAACTAACTTACAGTAAAGGGTACACAGGATCTCGCTATAGAATTTCTTAACAACTGGGGCGCCTGGGTGGCTCAGTCGTTAAGTGTCTGCCTTCAGCTCAGGTCATGATCCCAGGGTCCTGGGATCGAGTCCCCACATCGGGCTCCCTGCCCCGCGGGAAGCCTGCTTCTCGCTCTCCCACTCCCCCTGCTTGTGTTCCTGCTCTCGCTATGTCTCTCCGTCAAATAAATAAATAAAATCTTTAAAAAAAAATAAAAAATAAAAAAAAAAAGAAAAGGAAGAGAAAGAGAGATTGCTCAAAAAAAAAAAGAATTTCTTAACAACTGCATGTGAATCTACAATTATCTCAAAATAAAAGTTTAACTGAAACAATAATTGAATAAAAATTTTAAAATGAGAAAAAATTACTGGGGAGGTTTCTGTCTCCTGACTAATGACTGACTGATACATCTGAAAAGATGAAATGCAAACGCCGATGTTTTCTCTCCTGGCACAGGACTCTTCGCACTGGGCATAATAAATTTTGTTCAATCAAATGGAAAAAAAAAAATTAAAAGAACTTTGTTGTTACACTGACAAAAGCCACCACTGAGAGAAGAAAAAAGAAAGAGCAAGAGAAGGTACTGTCACCACTGACAGGAACTGTGGGTTTTGTTCCACAATAAATGGAAAGGGTAGAATAAAGGAAAAATAGACTCACTCTGCCTTTTCCCAAACTTGAATAGTCCCCTGACATTCTAGCCTTTAGTCTTACTTTTGCACTTCTGTCTTTCATTAAAGGGAGTGGGAATCTGGTCCCATATTCTAGATAAACATCTGGGTTTCTACGGTTTGGAAGACAAAAGTTCTCAGTGGTATATCATGTTTCAGCCACTGGTGTAAAGTCTCACGCTACAAATACATACTACAGAAATGGATTGTTTCTGAAGACAGTATCTAATTCATCACAAAATTAACTGAAAGTTATGCTAACCATCAGTATTAAAATGTGCTTTTTTTCAGACAGTTAAAAAAGCATCTGAGAAAAGAAATATTAGTGTACTAGAACTTGTATAGCTTCCATACAAAATAATATATTATTTCAGCAAATATATAAAATGCTCATATGCTAGATACCATATTAGATATAAGATTCTCAACATAATAAGAAACGCCTGGGCCCTTATACATTTTTCCCTTTTAAAAAAAGATTTTATTTATTTGTCAGAGAGAGAGAGTGAGCACAAGCAGGGGGAGCGGCAGGCAGAGGGAGAAGCAGGCTCCCCGCTAAGCAAGGAGCCTGATGCGGAACTCAATCCCAGGACCCAGGGATCATGACCTGAGCTGAAGGCAGATGCTTAACTGACTGAGCGACCCTGGCATCCCCCTCTTCCACATTTCTTAAAGGCAATTAGTTATTTTGTTAATTTTAAAAATATCTTGGTGAGCAAACCTTTACAGTTGAGAAACGGGAACAAAGCAAAGTTAACCAATTTTTACTTCTGCCAAATACATATTTCAAATGTCTACAGAGAATGCAATGTTATGATGATTGAAACATGACTTTGTAGTCACATAGACCTGGGATTAAGTCACAATTAGGCCATTTATTAGCCATATAATCCTGGGGAAGTTACTTAAGCTCTATAGTCACTTTTTACCTTTTTTACAAATTCCAGGACATAAATAAATTGGACATTACTGGTAAGCAAGATCAGCATGCCTGAAAAATTCAATACATGGATATGGTTCTTTCTTTTTTTTTTTTTTTTCCTCTGTGTTGCTTCCTTATTGTTCAACAGTAAGATCCTTGGGACTAGCGGGGCGCCTGGGTGGCTCAGATGGTTAAGCGTCTGCCTTCGGCTCAGGTCGTGATCCCAGGGTCCTGGGATCGAGTCCCACATCAGGCTCCCTGCTCCTTGGGAGCCTGCTACTCTCTCTCTCTCTCTCTCTCTGTCTCTCATGAATAAATAAATAAAATCTTTAAAAAAAAAAAAAAAGATCCTTGGGACTAGCATTATGAACCTGTCTTCACATCAGGTGAAGAACCCAGGTCACTGTATTAATATCTGAGCTACTCTGTGATAAGATTCCAAGATTTGGATTTAGAACTGGAGGAGATAAAGGTCTTGTAAGTATTTAGGCTGGCCCACATGCTTGAACTATTTTTTTTCCCCAGAGAACTTGCTGGGGTATTGGGCACTTGTGCAGATTATAAAAGAGCAATACCTATGGTCTTATTTTTTGAGTCAGTATCTCCTTTGACAGTCCCTCAGCAAATCAGGAAAACTGACAGGGCAGGGGTGCGGAATTTCTTTGTTCTTTATTCATGACACCATTCTAATAACATTAAAATTCCTACAGTTACTTCTAAAATTGTCTAAAGAAAAAAAAGAAAACAAACACCTCTAAACCTTGGTTTTCCCACCAGTATAACAGGGCTAATACTACTTACCTTGTAGGGTTATAGGCTTATGTGGGAATTAAATGATACAATAATGTGTGAAGAATGTGGCACATAATGGCCAAGCCATTATTGGTAGAAGCTGTATCATTATCATCATCATCACCATTTTTAGTAGTAGTAGCAGTGTTACTTAAAACCTCAAGGCCACATGATCATCTTATTTGCAAATAAAACCAATTTTTCTGGCTTCAGGATTTTCCAGCTTCTGGGACAAATCATTTATTGGAGTGGAGGGGCATAGTTTGGCCCGTGAAAAAAGAAGGAGATTAGTAAATTTTTAAAGTGTTGCCATTAATGTCTTTGGTATTAAGAATTTTCCATACTTAATATATCCTTAGGCTAGATTCCTAGAAATGAAATATTTGGTCAAATGGTAGACAGATCTTCAAGGATCTTGAATAATATTGTCGAAGTATTTTCCAAAAGGGTAGTATCAATCTACTCTTTAACCAGCAACATAAGAGTACACATCTCGCTGACCATCAAAAGGCAAACAAAGGTATTTTTGAGTAGTTCTGGTTTCCTTTGATTACTCACGAGGGTGAACTATGTCTCTCCCACCCACTCATGCTCCCCCCCCCAAATAAGTAAATAAAATCTTAAAAAAATAATAAATCTCATAGGAAACCAGTTAGACAGTCACATATTGTACAACTAGTGTCCAAACAGGGTTCTTTGTAATTGGTCAGTTCCAAGAGACTGAGTCTGAAAAAGTAGGTCTCAGACAGAGGCTACACCTCATCTATAGCTCTGGCCATGTGTCCGCACCCTGAATGTCACTTCAGCTTCAGGAGTAAGAGTTCTAGATAAAGACTAAGTTATAAGAATCTGGTTGATTCTCTCTCTCTCTCAGCAACTGGTAAGTTCAATGAAATTGCTTTCTAACAATCAGGTGTATCAAGTAGATTATATTTCACACATGCTTTTGACCCTTTAACAGCACCTTAGCATAGGACTCATAAAACCAGTAGCAAAAGCAACTTTCTGGTGTAGAGTAATATAGTGTAGTAGTAGTATTCCTCAACTATTCCATTCTTCTGCCACTTTGGTTGATAACCACCTAAAATCGTAGAAAATAATGACACCTAGTGTCCAGAAGTGTTACTCTTCTTAGAATATGTTGTGACTGGTAAGGCTATGAATACAGATGGAGCATCATGGATGTAAACTCACACATCTTTACCGAAAACGAATAAATAAAAATGTAATTATTCCTTGGCCTGCTAATAATGGAGGGGTTTTCCTACTACCTTCATTCTCTCGAGCCTAAAATGAAGTCTCAGGTTCCTTTTCGGTAGAAGGTCAGTGCAAAGACTGTCAAAACTATAGAGAAGTAGTAGCAGGGGTGAACCCAGACTCCAACAGAACCACACCACCAGTATCAAAAACCAAACACAAGCAACCCAGCATCAACTTGGGGACTGAATTATTCCAAGCCCTAGTAATAAATTCAATAGGGTCTTAGATATCTGATAAAACAGGGTCACTGTTCTTTTAAGCCAAGTTTCAAAAATGACTCTATTTATAATATCCTCTTTATTATCAAGGCCATTGTGTAGAGTCTCCTTTGGAATCCGGACTCACCTCTGCTATCCTTTTCTTCAGGTTCTCTTTTCCCATGTAGGAAGCCTGAAGGGAGATGACATTCTCTTCTTTTTGAATCAAAGCAGTCAAGACACTTTTAAAATTCTGATATTGTCTTAAGAGCTCCAAAACTCTTTCACATTGGTCAAGGCTATGGAAAAAAAAAAAAAAAAGTAAAACAGGTAAATCTCTAAAAATAACAAAACCATTCTCTCTCTTTGTAAGTATCCTATAATAATGACTAACACTTTAGAGAAGGATTTTTCCTCTTGACATAGTGTAGCATATTGTTTTACCAATGTAACCTAAGAATGACGGCACATACAGTTATCTGGCAAATGGATGGTATAAATACTCACTGGATTATGATTTTCACCAGATCAATTAAAAAAAAAAAAACACCAGATGTAAGCTCTAGAAAGAAACACAGGATTCATAATCTTAAGAAATCAGCATCTCAATTTCATCATTAACCAAAAACCATCTTGGAAAACAGTACCTCCCTAGCACTATTCTTGGAGATTGTTTCGATACTAATTCAGCAAGTCACAGTCGGTTTATGTCTATTTAACTCATTCTAGATTTAGCCCTCTTTAAAAAGTAAAGTAAGGGGCGCTTGGGTGGGCTCAGTCGTTGAGCATCTGCCTTCGGCTCAGGTCATGATCCCAGGTCCTGGGATCGAGCCCCACGTCGCGTCAGGCTCCCTGCTCTGCGGGAAGCCTGCTTCTCCCTCTCCCACTCCCCCTGCTTGTGTTCTCTCTCTCGCTGTGTCTCTCTCTGTCAAATAAATAAATAAAATCTTTAAAAAAAAAAAAAAAAGTAAAGTAATACAGATAATTTGGCAGTAAGGATACCTACTTATGGCTGGGCACTAATCAGTCATATGAACTTAGATAAGTTACTTTAGCCTCTTTAGACCTCAGTTTCCTCTATAAAATCTAAGGGTAGACTAGATCGAATACCACAGACAGGCTTGATCTTGACTACTGTACACTCAGCTTCCAGTAAAACACAGGAGGTGCACCCAGACAGAGTTCTGTGTAAAAGGACCACTGAGGTGAGCAGAGTTAAGGGAAACTTCCAGGGAGCTGAAGAACTAACCAGAGCAAAAACAGATATACCACTCAGCCTCAGGGGAAAGGGAGAAAGTCCCCTTTCCACCAGACAGGAGGGTGCCAGTAGGAGATGCCAGAACCACCTGCTGGAAAGGGAAGGGGTTAAGACCATCCTGACCTCTCTCTCTGCTTGTCCTCAAATCTCCTACTAGTACCTCCCACTTCCTATTCCAACTGGACCCATTGGCCTGGCTGGTACAGTCTGTTAGGGATCAGCCTTCCTGACCACTTCTCTGTCGAGGCAGAGAGTAAGGGAAAGAAGGCATGGATGGAGAATATTCAGCAGAACTGCCAACTAGGACTGGTAGGTAATGGCTATCACATAGTTAAGAAAACTTCTGAGCCTGCCCAGGCTCTGCAGAAAAGATGGTGGTAACTGACAAGCAATGTTTGCCATTCAAATAGGGTGATGTGGTAGAATAATGCCCCCAATCCCAAAGATGTCCACATCCTATCCCTGGATTCTGTGAATATGTTCCCTTACATGGCAAAAAGTACTCTGCTGGTATGATTAAGTTAAGGGTCTTAAAATAGGGACATTACCATGAATTATCTGTGTGGGTGCAGTATCATCACAAGGGTCCTTATAAGAGGGAGACAGGAGGGTCAGAGTGATAACAGAAGCAGAGATGAGAGGAGAGAAAGCCAGATTAAGATTTGAAGATGCCACACGGCTGGCTTTAAAGATGGAGGAAGGGGACACACACCAAGGAAAGTGGTAGGAGGCCTCTAGAAGACAAGGAAATGGATTCTGTCCTAGAGCCTCTGAGAAAGGAAGGCAGCTTCATTTCAGAATTTCCAACCTCCAGACTGTAAGATAAATTTGTATTGTTTTTTAGCCACCAAACTTCCGGTAATTAGTTACAGAACAGCAACAGAAACTAACACAGGTGGGGTAATAATAATCATAAACACACTGTATATTTGTTATCCCTCTTAAATAACCTCTTAAATTCATTGGGCTATAATCTAGGATTCCAGATCTTGCCCAGACATTGGCCCCTTGAGCTTCCAGTATGAAACTCTCACGTTTGCCCCTCTTTAGATCCATGTAAATGTGTTTTCAACATATCTCAAAAAGTTAACTGTGCTACAAACAACTTCTCAGATTTGGGAGGGATTTTTCTCCTTACCATTCAGTGACTGAAGCTTTTGTACTCTCCCACAAAAGTACTGTATTTTGGAACTGTTGATTCAGTGATTTTTCTCTGCCATCTTTGAACTGTGGAAGAGAATTAACCATCTCTTGCAAGCATTTCTTCTCTTCTTCATATTCATCTAGATCCTTATCCAGTCTCATTAGTGATTTTTTCCTTGATTATGAAAGAGAAAAGTTTGATAGCCAGTTATTAGCCAATCTGATTCAACACAAGTATGGGTAATTTGGGGGAGCACGCTAACTTTAATTTGCCCTCAAATTATTATATCAAAATTACACAGTCCTATTACAGAGTTCATGAGGCTCTTTGCATCTCCAGAATACTAATTTGGTATATTAGACATAATAAATATATAAAACCACAAGCAGTAGAATTTTTCTGTGGTGAACACACTTGTAAAGGGAGTAGATATGTATGTGAGAGAAAAGAGAAAGAGTGTGTGTGTGTGTGAACGGGAAAGAGAGCATAGAATAGAGAGAAAAGAGATGGATGATCATGCCCTGCAAGCTCCTAAGGAAGAGTGGAGGAGGCCAAGGAGAAAGGAACAAGCAAGGAAATCTTGAATTTCTACATTCTATACAAAAACCTCTTCCCCATCAAAAAAAAAAGAGTCATTGGGCGCCTGGGTGGCTCAGTGGTTAAGCGTCTGCCTTCAGCTCAGGTCATGATCCCAGGGTCCTGGGATGGAGCCCTGCATCAGGCTCCCTGCTCAGCGGGAAGCCTGCTTCTCCCTCTCCCACCCCCCTGCTTGTGTTCCCTCTCTCGCTGTCTCTCTCTGTCAAATAAGTAAAATTAAAAACAAAACAAAACAAACATTTGACCTAAGAGCTTTAACCTGCAAACTAATCCTGGAAGGATTAACTCCATTCACCTAGGTCTAAATTGCTTTTATCACATACTCACTGCCTCTACCCTCCCTCTTCCACTTCTCTCTGGAATCCACTCCCATAAGGCTTTCACTCCCTACCGCTCCTCCAAAACCGCTCATCAAGATCTCCAGTAACCTCCATGCTGCTAAACCCATGTTCCATTCTCAATCTTTGCTCCCTTCACTGGTCAGCGGCAGGGTCAGAGTGACAACAGAAGCAGAGATGAGAGGAGAGAAAGCCAGATTAAGATTTGAAAGGCCTCCTCACTTGACCCCAGGACTCTTGATTTTCCTCCTCCTATACTGGCCACTCCTTCTCGGTACCTTTGCCTGGTTCCTCCTCATCTCCCTAATCTCTAACATGGAGTGCCTGGAGCATGCAGCTCAGCCTTCTTCTGTGGCCTATCTGAACTCACTCCACTGGCAATGTCCTCCATCTCATGACTTTAAATAGCATCCTAGACGCTGATGACTCTCGAATGCATACCTCTAGCTCAGTCCTCTCTCCTGACTCCATCTACTGTTAAGAGTTTTGTTGATATCCTTACTTGAATGTCAAATAAGTATTTTGAACTGTCATTTCTAAAACCGAGCACACTTGAGCTTTCATTCAATACCTGACAAACTTCACTCTTTCTCATCTCAGTTGATGGTAACTCCGTTCTTCTAGATGCTCAGGTCAAAGCCTAGAATCATTCTTGACTCCAATCTTTCTTTTATAACCTAGGTACAGTGTGTCAACAAATCTTGTGGACTCTGTGTTCAAAATATATTCAGAATTTTAGCCCTTTCTGCCACCTCACCACTGGTCCATACCACCATCATGCCTTACCACAGATGAAGCTAGACTTTCTGTATCTTCCCTTGACTCCTACACTCTGTTCTCAACACGTCAGCTAGAGAGAGCCTGTTACTTTGAAAACCAAATCATTTCCATCTGCCCAGAACCCTCCAATGACTTCCCATTGTACTCAAAGAAAAAGCCAAAGTTATCACATGGCCCACAGGTCCCTACCTGAGCTAAGCCCCATCCCACCTGTTCCCTTTCTGATTCCCCTTTCATACCTCTTCCCCTCGCCGCTGCCCTTCTCACCTCCTTGCCTCTCCTCAGACATGCGGCCCATTCCCACCTCTGGCCTTTGTACCTTCCGCTCCCTCAGCCCGGAAAGCTCTTCCTCCTGGTAGTCACCGGGCTAGCTCTCTCATCCCATCTGACTCAAAGATTTACTTTCTCAGTAAAACTGTCCTTGATGACCCTTTTGGAATTACAACCCCCTCCTCCTTCCTTGCTTAATTTTTCTTCATAGCTTCTATCACCATCAAACATTGAATATCTTACTCCTCTCACTAGAAAAAAGCTCTATCATGGCCAAGAGTTTTTCTCTATTTTGTTAACTGCTATATCCCCAGTACCTAAAATAGTACCTAGCACGCAACACGTATTTGTTGTATTAACAACTAAATTAAAAATTAAAGCAATTTATTGTTTATCAATGTATAGATTTTCATGTGTAAATTAACATTAATTTATTCATTACTTATTATTTATAAATATATAATAAAAATTTATTAACAATAAATAATGAAATTAGTAATTAGTTCGACACCTCACTAAGAAGTGGGCACTGTGGGAATGAAAGTCTCATTGAGATGAGAGCACAGGGCAATTTCAGAGGGAAGAGCTTGGTCAGCTGAAGAGCCTCAAGGGAGCATTGAGCCTGAGGGACTCGGTGGGCAGAGGAGACGGAACGTGGGAATGATATAGACAGGGGAGGGGAGGCCCCAAAAGTAACTTGCTAACATTGTCACTTGCAGGACCTGGAGGCTGGCTCTGAACACCAGCATTAAAATAACAGCACTCATACAGAAGGCTGCCCGCCTCAGTTTACTGCAATTCTGCTCATTCTCCAAAATCAGCACTAACCTTAGCTGACCTCTCAAATTCAATCCTATGCCTTCCCACTCGGTCCCCCTCCCAATCCTGCTGGGAGGAGAGAAGAAAACCAAATACTTCAGGAAGAAGTAGGGACAGGGCATGGCATGCGTATCTTCTACCACTTCTTTCTTTATTATCCAACGTGTGGAGTATTTTAGGTCTTCCCCCATCACGATAACCCCGTAGTAAGTAACAAAGTCACTAAAAGGGACTTTGAAGGAACTCAAGTACTTTACACACATCTTATTTCACTCTTCCTGTGTCCATGAAACACACACTTCAATGAGAAAAAAATTATAGAGCATTTTGTGAAGGCACACTAACCACAGAAACGAAGCTTGTTTGAAAAGTCTACAGAAAAGAATGCTGAATGCTGAGCAGAGCAGGATGGAACAGAAGTTGAAAGGCATAGGAAGTATTCTCTCACCTAATAGATACTGAAAACACGGAAAAGCATTATCCTGCATCGGGACATGGGCGGAAATGAGACTCACCGTAGTTTCACAGCTGGAACAGTGGGATCCTTAAGACTGATTTTACTGATTTGATTGTACACATCTTGAATGTTTTTCAGGAGTTCATTATTTTTGAAAATACAAGTCTCTAGTAATTTGTTTTCTTCCATGAACTCTTCCTGCACACCATAGCCACGTGTCCCAAGTAACTTTCTGGACAAAGCAACAAGGAGTTTGTTGCAGGTGTCGTCACCCTGGCCATCATCTTTGAAGCTTATGCCGAGCATCTTCAAACGTTTATCCAGATGTCTGGCCTGGTCCTTCATCAGGCTAATTTCTCTTTCTTTATTTTCTAGCATCACAGTGTTTTCTCGTACTACCTGTGTATCTGAGGCTGAAAGGTCTGTAACAAGCTCAAAAGAGAGTTCAGCTGTTCTCAGAGAAGCCAGAAACTCCTCCAGAGCTTTGAGGGCATCTTTACTCCTCTGGACCTTGTGGTTCACTTCTTCAAGTTGTGTTCTGTGTTTTAGCATAATATTCTGCGTTGCATGTAGATCAAGTGGGTGTAATTCCTTTAATGCAAAGTCACCCGACTGTTCCAGGTTGTTACATATTTCAATCTGTTTGGCTACGGAATCTTGGATATTCTAAAATAAAGGAAGAAATGCTGAAAAAAAAAAACTGAGGCAGAAGAAAAGAAAGGCTGCACATCAGAAATGAACCTACACTTACGATGACTAGGTGGCATCTAGAAAATTGCTTCTCAGGTTTGCCAAGGCTGACAGTTTCAACAGAAGGAAACATGTTAATTACAAATCATTAGATGGCCCAGCTGTTTCATTATCTGATAACCTTCCTGATGTTTCAATCCCCCAAGGAAAACAAGTATATAAATCTACTGCTTCAGTGAAAATAGAGATTAAACTGTTGTGACATCTGTTTATAATCTGAAAAATAAAACTTAAATTTTTTTTTTTTTATTTAAAATGAGACCTGGGGGTGGGGGCATGGGGTAACTGGGTAATGGGCATTAAGGAGGGCACGTGATGTAATGAGCACTGGGTGTTATACGCAACTGATGAATTACTAAATTCTATCTGAGACTAATAATATAGTATACGTTAACTACATTAAATTTAAATTAAATTTTTTTTTTAAATGAGACTTGGAATAAGTAAACTGTAGAATCTGCATGTGAGTCTAGGACAATATTTAGGATTTTAGCCATTGGAGAAGATATTCATAAGCAAACCTTCGTTTTGAATTCAAAGAAAATACCTCATTATTTACCCCACAGTACCTCCTTTCAAATTTGTAAGGAATTGAGAGTTGAGAAATAAATAAGTCTAAATTATTGAAGACTTTTCTGCCATTGCTTATAGTCGAACTATATACTATTGATATATAATTAAAAATCTCTGAAGAACTGAATTATTCTATGAGTACCCTGGGAGAAGTTATATTTACCCTCAGGTTTTGATAAATGCCATCAGCATCAATGACATGAAATTCGTGAATGGCTACTTCATGGAGGAGCAGGTCCGAGCTACAGAGTAGAAGTGATTCCTTCTCCACAGGGAACACAATCTTCAGCGCCATCTCCAAAGATTCCATTCTGGGTGAAAAATAAACCAGATATAATGGAAAAAGACAACATAAAGATATTCTACAAAACATATTAATGCCATGATTTAACTAAGAACAGAAAATAATTACCCAATAAGAATACATACAATGATATGTACAGATCATCACATTAAAACCCAGACCCAGCAAAATAAAAACAACAAAAAAACCCCCTCAAAAACCAAACCCAGCAATCCAAAATGCCAAAGAATAAGTTGTTGGCTATATCCAATTTTCTTAATAGCTTAATACATACCACACTGAGTGGAAAATTGTAAAATATACTAAGCCTTACCCTACCTTTTTTTATAAACTTTTTTTAAGATTTATTTATTTATTTTAGAGAGAAAAAGAGAGAAAGTGAGTTGGGGGGAGGGACAGAGGAAGACAATCCTTCAAGCAGACGCCCTACTGAGTGTGGAGCTCAACAAGGGGCTTGGTCCCATGATCCATGAGATCATGACCTGAGCCGAAACCAAGAGTCAGATGCTCAACCAAGTGAACCACCCAAGTGCCCCTCCCTACCTTTTGAAATACAAAATATTGAATGTAATTTAAGTTTGCCTTTAAGGACAAAGAAATGTCATTAGAAATTATTTTATTAGGGAAAACATAATAGAATTCAAAGAAATAGGCTCTACTAATAATAAATTGAAATGTGTGACCTTGGACAAATAACATATGGACTCTGAGCCCCCGTTTCCTCCTATGTAAAATGGGGATGTGTCCTGGGGAAACACATCCTATGTGTAGGGGATAATAACAGCACTCTCACTTTAGAAATGGGGAAAATCAAGGCCCAAAGAAGTTAAGTGACATGGCCAAATTCATGCCCAAGGCCAGAGAGGTTGGGAGAGGGAATGACAGAGTGAGGGGGAAGCAGAGCATGGCCTTTGGAACTCAACACTTAAGTTCCACCTAAGTCTCTGGCCAGTGCAGTGGCTTGGTTATGTTGTTTAAATGCCCTGAGTATCAGTTTCCTCATCAGTCAAATGGCAGTCATGGTAGCCTCTCTCACCCGGGTTGTGACAACTAAATACAATAGCATACTTAGTATCGTACTAGCCTAGCTTAAAACAGCATTAAAAATTCAGTAAATTCGCTAAATTCATGGTTAATAGATCTCAGAATTATACCTGGTATTAAGAGTCATCTGAAAGTCTCTTTCTTTTTCCTTTAATCTGTCTCTCGTGTTACTTATAAAAGGCTTGTTTACGTCACTGTCAAGTTCTTCTAACTTCAGTGAGGTGATTTCAAACTCTTTCCAGCAAGCATCAGTTTCATTTTTTAAGACCTAGGTGAACCATATAAAGTAATCTATCAACTAGTGGGTTAACAGGCACAATTATTCTGTTCTTACAAAAATGAGGCATTTGCCAACTATTAACACAGAGTTTTATATGAAAACACATTAAAATTATTTTTATATCTAACTAATTAAATTTAATTTTAAATAAATTTTAAAAATATTTTCTAGCCATCTACAAGTGAAGTATCCTTCAGGGAACAATGATCTTAACTGTGTTCTCAGAAGTCCCATTCAATGAAGTCAAGGGAGTCCTTCCAACAAAGGAATCCAAACTCCCTTCCCATAAGTAGGTGTACAGAATATAATTCAGAAAGGTACATGTAATGTAAGAACAGATATCCTAGTTCCTCTAGATAATAAATCTTTATTTCTCCCTAAACTAAAAATAAAACTAGAGTGAACCAAAACTGTTTCTATCAAATAAGAAGTGAATGAAATTATGATTTATAATTAAACACCTAAAAATTCAATACTATTCTAGCTCCCTATCTTGTTGGTGGTGGTTTCTGTTTTTTTTTAAAGGCACTGCTACAGAATTTACTGAGTGCTGATCATTATAATTTGTTCTTCACGTTCCCCATAGATTATTATAGCTTTTATAACTAACTCATTATTCAGTTACTGGAGTAAGGTCTCAAGATAGTTTCTTAATTGTGATGAAAATGTGCTAAATCCATCACTTGAACAACAGAGAGTTTAACATATTAATTCTGCTTACTCAGATGGAAAATAGAGAGGAGCCAGATGGTAGAGTGTGACTCAGGAACTGGCATCATAAAGGGAAGATAACTATAAAATATGGGAGGGGACTGTAGGCTCTCCCATGGCCCTTTCCTCCACCTGCTGGGTTTTCTGTGAGGGATCATTCTAATGCACTTCCAAGCATACAGCAGCGTGCTCTGCACTGCACAGACTGTCTTCAAAATAAGGAAGATCTTTAAAATAAATAAATAAATAAAATAAGGAAGATCTTCATTTGTAGGGCTTACAATTGGTGTGCCCAACACTAGACAGTTTTTTCTGTAGCTCCTGAGCCAAATCGCTCTCTGCAAGATTATCCATCACTCAGAGTGAAATATCCCTCCACTGCCTGCCCCTTCCTTACTGCCCCAACATTAGATAGACAATGTGACAATTTGGTCAAGATGATGATGACTGAAACAGATATTCAGAGCCACTGGTTTTTCATGTATTGTTAATTTGAGAGCAACACAGTTGGACTACTGGTTGAAACTGCCTTCAAACACGTTGTTTTGAACAATTCCTTTGAAGCCCTCATTCCCATCCTAAACATAATCCAAAACTCTGCAAGCCACAGTATCTTGAGTACCAAATTAGAGCATGAGCAATAAATTAGGACCCTGAAACAGTCTTTCCTGGACTTGATACTGACTGCATATCACACTCTGAAATAGAATGATGTTAGAAATGCAATCCAACAAAGAGAATTCTTTGGAAACATCTAGCATGTGTGACCTCAACAAAAATAGTGAATTCTATACTCATGGTGGTATTATTTTCTAATAAAAGATAAAACTTTTCTAATAATATTTTCCGTAATTACCTGTAGATCTGTCAGTTTATCCTGCAGACAAGCACTACTCCTTTCCTCGTCACTGGAGAAATCAGAAATAATTCTGAATTTGTTGTTTTCCAAGTACAGCTCAAGATTTTCTCTGTGCATATCATACCTGGAAAAAAATTAAATGCAATGTTACCTAATTTTAACAATAAGACAAAACACTTTTTTAATTACTGTCAATTATACATGAGGAAATCTCAGGGAATTTCTGCTTAAGTCACTGGACCATGTGCAAAAAATTATGACTAATGGATTATAAACATGTATTAAAATATAACATGTTTGCACTAATGAAAGATTTTTGGTGGATTTTCCAGTTATGTAAAGGGGTTACCTCTCTTGTAAACTACTGAGGGCTGCACTGTGATCCTTTTCATACTTCTCCATAGAGCTTTCTTCCTGTTGAGGCTTTAACTTGAATTTCAGGCTAAAATTCTTAATCGATCCCATTGCCTATGTAAATATGCAAAATAGCAAACATAATACCTTCAATATACTTAACTGGGATATACATATACAAATGGAATATACAACTGGAATATATATACACAAGCATAATATATTTCAATATACTTAAGTATCTGGAAAAGATAAGCACTTTATAATACAAACATATGTCACTAATTCTTTATACCCCAAACCAGGAGATAATCCAACATATTTGAAGCTTCTCAGCTCTGAGAAAGGTCTTCCCCGAGGACAGAGGATATTTATGACACTGAGTCTCACCTTCTAACTGGTATGTCAGCACAGAAATGGTGTATTCTCCCAACCCCTAAATACGGTCTCCGCCTGTGGCTACAGAGCCGTAGTCGAAAGCGGACAGAAGCCTAGCACGCAGAAGCAGACCTCTGAAGTCAAATACACCTCGTCCTTCCCCACAGCTTCTGACTGGCAGTCTGGGCTGTGACATCTAGCCCATGCCCACTTACTGAAAATTCAAGAATTCAGAAAATTCAATCCCCAAGGAAAGTAAAGGACATTATACTGAGAAAAAGACAAACGGTAAATGAACTAGTTCAGCTCAGTGAAGCTGAGGCATCTGTCCAGATTAAACTCCACCTCTGGTACCCTCAAAAGGAATGTCCACAGACAACGTGTATTCATAATGGCTGCAAATGGTCTCCTTCTGAAAGACCTGTTTGCATCCTCAGAGGAAGATAAAGTGACGCTCACTACAGCTTTGGTTTGCTGTGTTGTAATTCTTGGAAAAGGAATCTTCCTTGCATTATTTAAACGGGAATTCTCAGCTGATGAAAATAATTAGATAATTAAAACCAACAATTAATGAGAAGTGGATTACTGTACACTTGGCCTTTTTCATTGGGTTTGCTTCTAAAATACATTATCTACATTTAACACCTTTTCAGTTGATGGCTGATCATGTGATTTTGCAGATGGCACCTCACTGTGGGCATTCCTTCCTCCATTCTCAGATGTGTTCATGGTCTCCCTAGGGAGGAATCAAAATTGCATATTAAAATAGAGGAAGAAAAATCACGCCTAAAAGAGAAGAAAGAACACTCCTTGTCATTTGATTTCACAAGGAGCTTCATCTTGTTTTCCCCTGATGTGTATTTAGTCTTCAGAAGCACTAACTTGCTTTTCGACGTTCCTCCCATCGTGGGTTGCAGTGTCATACGAATCTCGGAAGCACATTTCCGAAGTCTTTCTATCTTTTGTTCATAATCTTTGAGTACTCTCCTCACTTCTTGTTGACTCTTCTGGGAAGTCAGCTCTTCACACAGCTCCCGCAAGACATCCATGTGGTGATCTAGCTGGTACAGACTGCTTTCCTCAGAAAAGCAGGCCTGATTGAGGAAATAAAGCAGGAAATGTGCTTCAAAGGAGTTTACATGATTAGCCCATAAGGATTAGAAACTAACAGATGTGTGTGACTTCAACGCCACATTCTTTCATAGGCCATCCACTGTGTGCCTGGTGTGGTCATGGGCACTCGAGAAACAAAGATCAGGAAGTCAGCCTGAAAGGGATTCACCACAGTCCAGTAAGGCAGTGAATGAAACCAGAATATGTTCCCCCAAAATTTGCCTCTTTGTTTTTAAGTGATCTCTCTGCCCAACATGGGGCACAAACTCATGACTTCAAGATCAAGAGTTGTATACTCTATAAATTGAGCCAGCCAGACGGGCCCCAAAATATGCCTTTTTGATGTGAAAATTATTTTGTGCTAAAGGCAATTAAGAAGCAGTAAACACAGGAAAGCTCCCCGCTTTCTGCCTAACGGCCCGGCAATAAAAGTTTCTTCTTATTAGAGACAGACTCTCTCATCAGCCCAAAGACAGTACCAGAGCAATCTGCAAACAAACCTTGTTAAACTAACCTTTATCTTTGTCTTGTCAATTCTTTGCAAATGTGTGGTCTCTTTGTCTAAAAGGTATAAAAAATTCCTTCTCTGGTTACTTCTTTGGGTCTTCATTCTCTTGTGAAGGCTCCCATGTGCACGTAACAATTCAATAAAATCTGTATGCTTTCCTCCTGTTCATCTGTCTTTGGCAGTTCCGTTCTCAGGGACCCCCAAGGAACGAAGAAACCCTTTTCCTCCCCTACAGTCGTCACCCACACAACGTGCACCTAGCGTGACCAGTGTTATGAGAGCAACCGTCTGCCGTAAGGAGTCACAGAAAATCTACCTCACACGCGGGAACCATCTGAGGGAGATGCGGAAAGAACAAGGACGAGTCCTCCAAGTAAAAGCAGAGAGAGGTCCTCCTACCAGAAGGAAGAGCCAGGAGGAAAAAGGCTCCAGCTGTTCTCAACGAACAGCAGTCTCTCCGGTGATGGGTCTGGAAGGTGATGTGGCCATCATCACAGGGGGAGAATAACCCGGGTGGAGGGCAATGGCAACACTGGTGGATAGGAAGGAAAAGAAGCATGTGTTCTGAGGAGTAACCGAGGGGGCCTGGCACCCTACTCCATCACGGCTGAGAGGGAAAGAAAGGGGACGGGGAGGAGGGGAGTTCGCAGGCGACTCCGCCCTTCGTGACCAAGACACACAAGAGGAAGCAAAGTGTGAGAGGAGATATCATTGGCTGGTTTTGGACATCCTGAACGACAGGTCTCTGAAGGACACTGGTGATATCTACTACTCAGAACCTGGAGCACAGAGGAAAGGACTCGGCTGCAGATAGGGATTTAGGCACTATCATTACAGACAGGGTTTTATCATTAAAACCGCCGAAGGGGGCACCTGTGTGGCTTAGTCGGTTAAGCACCTGCCTTTGGCTCAGGTCAGGATCTCAGGGTCCTGGGATGGAGTCCCCTGATTGGGCTCCCTGTTCGGCGGGGAGTCTGCCGCTCCCTCTTCCTCTGCCCCTCCCCACCACTCGTGCGCACACACTCTCCCTCTCAAATAAATAAATAAAATCTTAAAAAACAAAACAAAACACAGAGGGCATAAAATCCCTAGAGCAGGCACGAAACCACCCAAAAATGGAGACTCTCAATAAAACATTAAGATAACACAATGAAAACAGAGAAATCTGTGGGGCACCTGGCCGGCTCAGTTGGTAGAGCATGCGACTCTTGATCTCGGGGTTGTGAGTTTGAGCCCTACACTGGGTGTAGAGACTACTCGAAGAGAGAGAAATTTGTGAAGACACTAAAAAGAAGCTCCCCACCTCCCCCAAAAAATAATAAGAAAAAGCAAGAGAGATTGATATTGGGAGAGCCACAGCAGTAGAAAACTTAAAGGAAAGAAGAGGGGTCAGTACTGTCAAATAAATAGAAAAAATCATATAGGATGGGGGCCAGAGAGAGGTCATGAGACTTGCCCCCAATTTGCTATCTTTTCCAAAAGCAAAAGTTCTAAGGACACCATGTCCCCTTAAAATCAACTGTGGGTACTTTAGCAACAGGTGACACATTTATAACCAGAGTCTCAAGGACAGGGGCCACTGAGACATAGCAAAAAATATTAACTCGATGCTGAATTCTTCTCACTTCTAAACAGCAAGCAGCACACGTTGTAGTTAGAGCTGGAACCCCATAAGGGATAGTTCCCAGGGCACTGATGGGAGGACTGAAGTAATTTTCAGAACAGGTTTAATCCAAGGCTAAGGACACACACAACAACATCCTTCAACAATGTAGGATAAACTCCAAAATAATGACAACACTTAAATGGAAACAGGTGGTTTACCTCATGTTCCTTGATGAGACCCTTGGTCCTCCCTCTGCGAATTAGTTTCTTTTCTTTATTTATTTGTTTTTCGAGTTTTGAAATATTGTCACTGAGTTTCTCTTTTTCAATGTCTATTTTCAGTTGTTGAATATACAAAGACATCTCATGATAAAGAAACTGCAAAAAAAAGAAAGAAAGAAAAGAAACCCACAGAGGCACATAGTAACTATGGGAAAAGTATATATTGAAAAGATTTTCATCAAAAACCAACAAAAATATTTGTAGTAACAAAGGATAGGAAGGGAGTTTAAATGGCATTCTGGTTCGTCCTTGTGTCTTTGGGGAGGACGTTTTAAAATATACCAGACCCAGAAATGTATCTTCTTTTTCTTTCTAACAACTAAAACTGTGTGTTAGCTGTGAAAGACACCGTTAAGAAAACAGAAAGCCAGCTGCAGACTGAGAGGACACATATACAAAACGCATAGCTGAGCCTACGAAGAAATAGCATGGAACTGTACCGTGTCTCCAGGATGGGATTCTGAAGGAGGAAAAAAAGGACAGAAGGGAAACATTGTGGAAATAGGAATAAAGTATAAACTGAAGTACATAAGGAATCAATATGAGTGCGTTAACTGTGACAAAGTAGCATATTAATGTAAGGTGGTAAGAGTAGGAGAAACTGGGCATGGTCTATACTGGAACTCTCTGCACTATCTTTGTAACAATTCTGCGAATCTAAAGTTGTTCTAAAATTTGAAAGTTTATTTTAAAATGTGTTTTAAGAGCCCCTTCAACAGTAGACATTCAATTATATTACCTTATTTTTTCTCTCTCTCTAGACACACACAGACACACACACTGAATACTAATCACTCTTCCTTGAACACAATCTCTGTGTTAGATAAATCCTAGCAATAATCCTGCCAAGTGGTTGGGGTTATCCCCATTTTATCAGTGAAGTTCCTAGAAGTTAAACAACTTACCCAGGGTCATAGCTGCTGAATCTAGGTCTGTCTGCCACCAATGCCCATGCCTATTTCGCTAGGAAACTCGGTATGTGTGTGTATGGATTGATGCGTTGTCTCAGTCAGGATCCAACTAGGGCCCCAGGAAACACTAAGTATTTAACTCAGAGTGAATTAAATGCAGGGAACTGATCAGGCAAGAGATGAAAGAGCAGAGAAGCCAGAGAAGGGACCGGAAGGCAATCCGAAGATGAGCCCAGCCGTAAGGCTGCTTCTACCCCTGGCCTGGAGGCTTCAGAGGAGCCCAGACAGAAGGGACATCAGAAGCTGGAACCCTGGAACCCGCAACCAGGGGGAGACACAGCCGCCAGAGACACTGCCCAAGAGAGGGACTTGGACACTCCCTTCTCTCCCTCCAGTCACCCTCAAATCTCTAAACCGTGTTGTCACTGGCTGAACACAGAAGCCAGTTGGGCCCTGGGAACGGCAGGATCAGCCTTGCTGAGATACGAAGCACACAGGGGGACTGCCCACAGACAGGCCCGGAGTCAGCTCTGTAAGCAGAACCCCAGACACGTGTGCATGTTCTTACCTCCCACTTGGCACAGACATCGCTACTCTTTTCTTCCAAAGACAGCTTTACATCCTCGGTTACATTATTTTTCAGTTCTTCAACAGCTTTCAGATACTTGACCAGACTTTTAGAATTAAGAATTATTAGTGCCTCCTAAAAAAGAAAATGCAAGTGAGAACATGAAAGCCTCGTTCTACTGCCAGTTTTGGTAGGTCTTTAACAGGCACAATTAGGAAGAGGCTTTTGGAAGACTATGAAGATTTATGGGAGACTTTTTGTAAAGTGAGGTTGACATCCTTTTTGCATCTCTTGAATTATTTTGAAAAGAGTTGCAAGATATTTATTATTCAAATGTAGTCAGACATTTGAGAACCACATAAGGACTTCCTTAGGATATTCAAAATGATTTTTGTTACCCCTCTGATAAATAATTAAAAGGATTATCGTGCAGGGTAATGAGCCACCAGTACTGTTTCCTGTAACATTCTTAAGTACTAGCGAGCGGAGGACCATACTTCATTAGCAATGCCATCTGAAGAATATGCTAGCATGTATTTGTGTTGCAATAAGACACAATTTATAGTAGGGTTAATAGGCAAGTATTTCATCTTGTGCATAAGCATTTTTATGCAGCAACAACTCAACATTGTCAACTTCCAAGTTTTGCCCAGGGCCAACCCAGTCCCGCCCCACAGAGGGAGCATCAACAGGGCAGAGACGTGTCTGCTCCTTCTCTCCCACCTACCTGCTCGTATGGAGTATTTACCTGGCAATTACTGGCAGAAACCTAGTTTAGTTAATTAGCAAATGACAGAACAAAGAAGAATTTGGGGGTTGTGAAAGAGGCAGAAAACTATAGGAGACAGAGGACAAAAGTAATTCTAGGGAATAAGGCAATTAAGCTCGGTGGGAATTCGTTCATGCCCTCATGACATTTGTTATGGGCCTACTGCAGAAAAGGTACAGTGCTGAGCCCCAGGGCCCTCCTCCACGGCCTCTGTGAGGACTGCTAGATTTACGACCTAGGGAGACACTAACCCTTATGCTGGCAAGAGGCTCCTATTACTCGTGTGTCCCTGGAGTCCCAGGGGTCTCAGGGCAGGACCTACAGGGCAGGGATCTTGCTTCTGTTGTGAAAATAGACCTACTTTACTAAACGCCAGAGATAAAAGGGGGCGGAGTGGGGGGGGGAGGGGCAGGGAATCCCTGCCTCAGATTCCAAAAGGCAGATGGTCAGGAAGAGGAAAATGGTGTCAGACTGACACCTGTAACTTCCCTCTCTGGTAGAGAAGGGGCCTGGAGCCTCCATGTTTCCTCTGCCTTCTGTCTCTCCTGAGCTGACCATATCAGCATCCTGACGTCCAGCCTAGTGATTATTTATGAGAACCACTGAGAACCACTGACTCTTTAAGGTCCCAGTTTAGCACTCTCAGCAACCTGGGAATGAAAGTGGCAAAAAAACCACAGAGGGAACTGGTTAAAGGTGGTGACCAGCAACATGCAAACAGCACAGACCAGGCAGGGAGGGTTCTGAGGTCATGGGAAAAGCAGTGTTGAGATGGCTGATAACAGGGCCCGGTCTGGTTCACAATCCAGAAAGCCAAATGAGGACTGAGGCCCAGAAAAGTGAAGGAGGCCACAATGACAGTAAAGAGGCTCCTTCTCCTAAAAAAGATGCCTAACGTGGGCGCTTGGGTGGCTCAGTTGGTTAAGCGACTGCCTTCGGCTCAGGTCATGATCCCGGAGTCCCAGGATCGAGTCCCGCATCGGGCTCCCTGCTCGGCAGGGAGCCTGCTTCTGCCTCTGACCCTCCCCCCTCTCATGTTCTCTCTATCTCGTTCTCTCTCTCAAATAAATAAATAAAATCTTTAAAAAAAAAAAAAAAGATGCCTAACGCATTTTAAATGTTCAGCAAGTGTGTGAAATGTTGAATAAATGAATGAACAAAAGGACACATTATAACTCAACCTCTCCAGTGTGTCCAGTGGTAGAGACCTTATCCCCCCAAGCACCTCCCACATGTTAATTAATACTGACTCTCTGGTTTGCACACATCTTCAGTCGCCTATCAAGCCAGGAAAAAGCAACCTGAAACTCTCTCCATACAGAGCAACACCACTGGATCTTTAACCACAGTAAGCATTAGGTCCACATGGAACTTTTATCAAAGCATTTTAATAATAAAAGTGTTATTTTACATTCCGACAAGTTTACCTATTCCAAGTGCCTTTATTTGCCTTATTTTCAGTTAAAGTCTCACAACAAATTTGGTAGCTGGAATTATTATGCCCTTTTCACTGATTTAAAAAGCAAAGAAATTAAATTCATGCTCAATATCATAGAATCAGCTGTGCTCCTGACACTCTACCACTGAGTCCACTCAGCAAGTCTATGATAAAATTTAAATTGAAAAAATTCTTCATGTTAATGTCTATTTTTAATCGTTTCTGGGAACAACGTATAAAACTGGGGATTTTTTCCAAGTTACAATAACTTTGTGTGTAATTACAGCGATGAAAATATCTTGATTTCAAATGAGATAGGTAGTCAATAATAAATAGCCTACATTTGATGGTTGAAAGAGTCCCACCTTGTATTTTGAAATTAGTTCACTCCGGCTCTCTCTTTGTCCAAGTAATTGCTCAGCCCTTGTCATGTACGAGTCAAGTTCCTTCTGTGATTCTTCCACCTTCAGCCTGACATCCAGGTCTGGTGAAGCATCAGCTGAGTTTTTTAACACTGCAACTAATTTTACCATATTGATCTGCAAAAACAAAAAATTCTCAATGCCTGGCCCACCTGTTTAGTGGGTTATAAATTAATAAATACATTCTTTGAGTAGTAAGTCTAATTTTCCCACTGGATAGAATATCCTATTTACTATATTGATATTTTCTAATACGTTCTAAATTATTTAAAATATATATATGTAAAATGCAAAAGTAATATTTTAGAAAACATTCCCAACCTCCAGGGCAACCCCTCCCTCTCTTCCCCATCCTGCCACTGACCACTCACTTTTAAAGACTACATTCACTAAATAGGAAATAGTAAACGAGAGACCTGAACTTTCTCTTTGGTTTCTTGAATCTTTGTCTGAAGCCCAACTGTGAGAACATGTTGAAGGGACTCCTGGCTTGAAATATTTTGTATATCCATTTGTAAGGTATCTTCAGTTCTGGACACAAGCTCTTCATACATAGAGCCTTTGGCAATAAGATGCTATTAAAACAAAGTGAGACCACAATAAATATTCTGATTATATGTTAAACATTAGCCTTAATCTCATCATGACATCATAAAAAGTTAACTATTCATCCAAAATGAGGTAAATCTGTACTCTAAAAATGTTATTTTAAAACTTCACTTTGAAACTTTATATGAGTACAGATTCTGAGAAACAAAGTCTTTTATAGATTATTCATTATAGAGTAGGCACATCAATAAACTAAAGCCTAGTAGTAATACAATGCCAATAGACAGAAAATAAGTTGAGAGAATAGTAATAAACCTTAAAATGAAGTTGTTCTAAGTCAAATCAGTTGGAAGGAAATTCAATAAATGTTACTGGAGAAACTGACTATTGGAAAAAAAATCCTTTCAAAACCATGCTTTCTACAACATACTAAAAATAAATCTCAGATGGATCAGAAAGTTACATATAAAATAGGAAACTACAAAACAGAAGAAATTATCCATGAAAACTGATACACTCTCTCTGGATGTGAAGTGACCTTTTTAGGGGTAAGAGTAGGAACATAAACATAAAAATTTTCTGTGTAAAATAGGGGCGCCTGGGTGGCTCAGCCGTTAAGCGTCTGCCTTCAGCTCAGGTCATGATCCCAGGGTGCTGGGATCGAGCCCCGCATTGGGCTCCCTGCTCAGCGGGAAGCTTGCTTCTCCCTCTCCCACTCCCCCTGCTTGTGTTCCTGCTCTCGCTATCTCTCTCTCTGTCAAATAAATAAAATCTTTAAAAAAAATTTTTTTTAAATTTCTATGTAAAATAAAATAAACAACTTAAAAGTCAACAACTTGGTGAAAATATTTGCCACACAAATGAAAATGTGTCATCACTCAAAGACTTAGACATTCAGTAAGAGAAGTACTAAGATCCCCCCCAAAATTCAGAAAACACATGAACAGATAATTCACAGAAACAAACGGTTAATACATAAAAGATAGCTCAAACTTACATGTAATTAAATAAGTACAAATTAAAATAATAACAAGGTACTGCTTCTTAGTTATCAAATCAGCAAAAAAAAAATGAATTACAATTCAAAGGTGGTATGAGTATGATAATATAGAAATTACATTGTTTAATATCAACTCAGTAAATGCTGATTTTATTTATCTTAGAGCAGTGGAATCATGATGATTTTTATTTTCTTCTTTATACTTTTGTGCATTATTTAAATGTTCTACACTGAGCACATTCATTTATAATTTCAATTTTTTTCTCTTTTTAATTATAAAAGTAACAAAATCTCACATAAAAAAACTCAGGAATGGGAAGGTATAGAATGTAAAGAAAAAGCTCTTCTTCCCCATTCCTCGCTTAGTTGTCATTTAAGTCAATCATTCACACATTCATTTTAAAAATACTTGGTTTGCATCTACTAGGCAACAGGAAATGTGCTAAGAGTGGGGCATAATTCAGGATCAACACAGAATTAGTTATCTGTATATCCTAACACACATTTTTCTATGGATATAAAAGCATGAAGTATAAAAAAAGCAACCGTTTTATGCTCAATGTCACTCATCATCAGGGAAATACAAATAAAAACTATGATGAAATACCACCTCACAACTGTCAGAATTGCTAAAATTAACACAAGAGACAACAGGTGTCGGTAAGAATGTGGAGAAAAGGGAACCCTCTTACACTGCTGGTGGGAATGCAAACTGGTGCAACCACTCTGGAAAACAGTCTGGAAGTTCCTCAAAAAGCCAAAAATAGAACTACCCTATGATCCACCAATTATACTACTAGGTATTTACCCAAAGGATACAAAAATATACATTCGAAGAGGTACATGCAGCCCAATGTTTATAGCAGCAATGTCCACAATAGCCAAACTGTGGAAAGAATCCAAATGCCCACCGACTGATGAATGGATAAAGAAGATGGGGTATATACACTCCATCTTCTCAGCCATCAAAGAATGAAATCTTGCCATTTGCAACAACATGGATGGAGCTACAGTGTATTAGGCTAAGTAAAATAAGTCAATCAGGGAAAGAGAAGTACCACATGATTTCATTCATATGTGGAATTTAAGACACAAAATGGATGAACATTTGGGAGGGGGCAAAAAGAGAGAGAGGGGGAAACAAATTATAAGAGACTTAACTATAGAGAACAAACAGGGTTGATGGAGGGAGGTGGGTGGGCGATGGGCTAGGTAGGTGATGGGTATTAAGGAGTGCACTTGTTATGATGAGCACTGGTTATTGTATGTAAATGATGAACCACTGAACTCTACTTCTGAAATCAATATTGAACTGTATGCCAACTAACTAGAATTTAAATTTTAAAAAAAGCAACTGTTTAAAAAATCACATAACCTGTACTGCTCAGTAATTTGCATTTCTTACTTCACCATATATCTTGCTCTAATAAAGATCTACTTAATTCCTTGTTAACGTAAGTATATTCTAGTATGTTTGTATTTTCATTGTTTGTAAGAGGCTTTAAAATATTGAATTTCTCATTCCTCACTCATTTCTTTCACTAAAATAAATTCCAGATATAGCAAATAAATATTAAAATAAAAATAAGAATAAATAAAAGCACTGACAGATGGCACAGTTATGTTTATATAATACTTTCAAAGCAATAAAAAATACCATTCTTATAAACCATGAAAACACAAAATGCTATATATACACCTTTCAGAAATGTGGATTTAAAAGAATTACATAAATATTCCTTTATTCCAGGAACTTTCCACCTTGTTGTAATTTATGACATGCTCCATAAGTTTTATAGCTGAGCTGGAACTCAGTAAAAACCTCAACTGTAACTTCTTTCCCAGGAAAACTGAATGAATTAAAACACACTCTTGCCTCATTGCTTTTCAATGAGCCGAACTGCCAGAGAATAAAGACAGAAAGGTTTTAACAACATCCGTCACCCTCCCCGCATCAAGGAAGGAAGGGAAAGTGGCTTAATCAGTGGGTGAGCTTTCACACTTGATCTTAGCCGAAAGGCCGAGAAGCGATGTGGGTGAGCTTTCAAAGCATAGATCGTATAATCTCTTATACTCACACTGCACTGACCTACCTAACATATCCTTACTCATCTCCTCATTGCCCTTGGAAACAAGAGAATATTTTAATTTCCATTCTGTAGCTAGGAAAATGAGTTCAAGAATTGAAAGTCATAGCTATTATTAGTGGTCTCCTAATCTATCCTCTGTCTTCAAGCAAAATCTCAGCAAATGATCCAGGGATGACAATCCATACAATTTTTAAAAGTCTGAACAAAGAAAATTCAAACAATAGTCCTATTACTATTTACATTTTTTAAAGATTTTATTTATTTATTTAGAAATAGAGAGAGTGAGTGTGGGTGGGGGGGGCAGAGGGAGAGGGAGAAAGAATCTCAAGGAGATTCTCCACTGAGCGCAGAGCCCAATGAAGGACTCCATCCCACGAGATAGAGATCACTACGGGAGCCGAAATCAAGAGTCAGACGCTCAACCAACTGAGTCACCCAGGCACACCACATTACTATTTACTTTAAAATCTTGTATTTATCTTAATACATAAGTCCACAACCATGAAATCTATAATACTTTTACACTCATACCTGCAAGTGTTCTTCCACTGAGGCATCTACACCCTCCTGATGTCTCAGAAACTCCAAAAGAGATTCAGTTTCTGCCTCCCAGATTTCCACTTGTCCAATGAGTTTTTCAACATCTTCAGCCACTTTAAGTTGCCCTATGAATTCATTTTCTTTTTCATGTTCTTCCCCGGCCTACAACATTCAAAATTATCGCTAAGAAGATGGCAACATTTACATTATAAAATAATTTTCAGTTAAAAAAAAAAGTTATTTCTTTTTTTCCTGAAGATGGCTAATTCAACATATTTTAGTAACTTAAAACCTAGTTTTCAGACAATGATAATAGCACTTTATGATATTTATCACTTTAAAAAGTAAAAAAATTGTTCACATATATTTTCTTTTTTTTAAGATCTTATTTACTTATTTGAGAGAGAGAGCAAGAGCGAGAGAGAGAGAGAGAGATCACAAGCATGGAGAGGGGCAGAGGGAGAAGCAGACTCCCCACTGAGCAGGGAGCCCGATGCGGGGCTCGATCCCAGGACCCTGAGATCATGACCTGAGCCGAAGGCAGATGCTTAGCCAGCTGAGCCAGCCAGGTGCTCCATGTTCACATATATTTTCTTAATGAGAATATCATTCCTGTCATTTAGTTACTATCATCTCCACTTTACAGATAAAAAGATTAAAGTTTAGAAAATTAGGATAATGACTCTATAGACCTTTCTAAGACTCATATACAATTTAACTAAATACAACTCTGAGCAATAGCAGTTGTGAAACATCACCAAGAAGAGACTCAGAATCCAGTTTCAACACAATTAAGCCTTTTCCCATTAATCATCTCTCAGTATCCTACAGGTTGTTATGCTACAGCTTTACACCTTACACGATAGATACATTCTTAAAGTTGTTGCTAATCAGACCGTATCTTAAATGTATTAGAGGAATATAGTATTCCGCATTCTTATATTCTAAAAGCATATTGCACAATTTCAGATCTTTCAAGATTTTCTCTGATCAGGTCTCCTGATGGTGGGAAACATTGGCACTCCATCATAGCCACTGGCCAAAGCCAGTGAAAAGTTACTTTAAGTGACATTGGATCCATTATTATTTGGAAGGAGGCACATTTCCCAAATCACAGGTATTATATCTTACATGTGTATGATTTTTTTTGTTCCTTTTCCATAGTCTTGTTTATAATCTAAAGTCATTCTCCAAATTATCCAACAAAACAAGAAATAAAAATTACATTGTCCCCCATTGTACAGAAAGGAAGCAAGACACAGGCCAGGGGCTAGACCAAAGCTGGACAATCTCTGAACACAATCAAAAGTCATCTGAAGAAAATATCAACTCCATTTCCACAGCTCAGAAGTCACGGCTGCTTCTGCATGTCTGTGGAAGTCCTCAGCGAGTGAGAAACACAGACTTGAACACTGAAAGCTCCTTCATGAAGGGATCCACTTGAGCGTTCTAGTGGAAAATGACCATACTTTAAATGTTATCCAATAATCACATTTACCATTGTTTCAACAATATGGTTTTATCAAAAGAAAAATAGCTGAGTTGGGGCACCTGGGTGGCTCAGTCAGTTAAGCATCCGACTCTTGATTTCAGCACGGGTCTTGATTGCAGGGTCATGAGGACAAGCTCTGAGTTGGGCTCCATACTAGGCGTGGAGCCTACTTAAAAAAAATTTTTTTAAATAGCCAAATTATTTCTATATACAAATGAAATACATAAAATATGACTATTTTACCTTTATATTCTGATTATGATTTTCAGGAAGTTCTATTGACATATCTGTCAAAAAATCAACAGTTGGTTTTTCTTCTTTAGATAGCTGAGTATTTTCATAATTGTCAAAATTGGGTTGATCCTGTTTTTTTATAAGTGGCAGATTCATCTCCTATAAAAAATGTCATGAAATTTAAAGCCCATATTTTTTATGTGAAGATATATTATTACCAACAATAATTGGACATAATATATTCGATATATTCTGGGATTTATCACTTAATAACAATGTTATAAAGTATAAGCATTTCCCAAAAAACACTTCAGTCTCCAATTATTAAGAATAAGAAACAGACTAATTTAATCATTTAAGTTCAAAAATTGTTTATTAAAGGTCTGCTTTTATAAGGCACTATGTATCCTAACTATAAAGCTATATAAAGCTCAGCATATGTTCTCAAGGAACTTGAAATCGGTAGGCAGAAACGCTTAATGTTGTTCTATAATAGTAAATGAATTTCAACTAGAAAGCTATACATTACATGTCCACACAAAAACTTGTACATAAATGTTCAAAGCAACATTATTCATAATAGTCAAAAAGGTGGGAAGAAGCCAATGTGCATCAACTGATCAATGAATAAATAAGATGTTGGGTATCCATACAATAGACTATTGTTTGCCATAAAAAGAAATGGAGTACTGATACATGCTACAACACAGACGAACCCTGAAAACATGCTAAGTTAAAAAAAGTCAAGAAACACAAGACCAGATGTTATATGATCCCATCTGTATGAAATATCCAGAATAGGCAAATCTACGAGACATAAAGTAGATTAGTGGCTGCTGGGGAGGCTGGGAGAAAGTGGGGAGTGACTGCTAATGGGTACAGAGTTTCTTTAGGAGGTGACAAAAATGTTCTAAAATTCATGACCATGGTGGCCGCACAACTCTGAATATACTAAACATCGCTGAGTTACACCCTTTAAATGAGTGAACTGTATGGATGGGAGTTATATCTCGATGAAGCTGTTACCAAAAACAAAAATAAAACAAAAAAACTTACAAGCTGAGTTTTTGTAACAAGTTTTCTCCATCTTTTATTCAGCCTTCTCAGTTCTTTAGAAATAGATGATCCAACTTCATCATTACTGACTTGAATTAAGAAATTCCCCACTTCATTTAAAGTTGTATGTTCTACATTCCACTGGGATAGTGTCTCAAAGGGAACCTACACAACACAGAAGCAACATAGTTTAATGACATAACACCTGCCTTTCCATTATCCATAATAGATCTTTACTAAGGTTGATTCTAAGCAAAAGTGAGTGTGAGGTTCTTGCAGAGACTCTGAGCCTTCCCTTCCCTGTTGGACCAGCTCTTCATTCCTAATCACTAATTGGCAGGCACCAGCTGTCTGTCATCACTCCTGGTCCTGAACTTTTAGGAAGCATCTGATGTTCTATCTTTCTAAGTGGTTAATGAACTCGGAGCAAAGGTTCTCAAGTATTTATCAGTTCACAGTGCCCTAAATGTCTCAGTAATTTTTTCATAGATTCCCTAGGTCAGAAGATTCATCTTACAGGTCTTATTTTCTACGTAGGCGGGTCCAAACCACTTGGTAGTTATTTGCTGCATGGTATCCAACAGACTGATGTTGCTGTGTCTCCCTCAAAATTTAAATTATCTTGAAAGTCCTCTTTGGCAGTTCAGGGCACCTTAGCACAGAGTCTGGGAATTGCAAGGCTTAATGTGTTATTTTTCTCAGTTATGTGAATTTTCATAAAAGATCTTTAATGGATAGAGGTAGAGAGTATTATGCTAATCAAATTAAGTCAGTCAGAGAAAGACAAATACCATATAATTTCACTCATATGTGGTATTTAAGAAACAAATGAGCTAAGGGACAGAGAGAGAGAGAGAAACCAAAAAACAGACTCTTAACAAACTGATGGCTACCAGAGGGGAGGTGGGCGGGGGATGGGTGAAACAGGCGATGGAGATTAAGGAGTGTGCTTGTCCTGATGAGCACTGGATGCTGTATGAAAGTATTAAATCACTATATTATACAACTGAAGTTAATATTACACAGTATGTTAACCAACTAGAATTTAAATAAAAACTTTAAAAAAAAAAAAAAAGATCTTTAAACACAGAAGTGTTGAAATCCAAAGATTTGGATTTCTAGAATCACTACAGGTGACAGGAAGAATGACTCACTAACCCTTCAAATATTCTTTTTGCATTCCTACACCTACCACAAATTTTACTTTCATAAAAACAGCCCATTTTCAGCTGAGTAACTTTAGTTTCTATTTGGAAAATGTTTAATCTGAGAGGCTGTCTATATCCATTTGCAACAGAGGAAAATGAAAGAAAGAAAAACTACCTCAGAGAATAATCATAAAACAGATTATTACATGACTAGCAAATGAAAACAATATTGAATTACATTGAAATTTCTTCCATACCTTTCCACATAAGTTTAAGGTATTCTGCATTTTCTTCCTATAGAAATGCAGGGAAATTTTAGAGCTGAAAGGTATTCATCCAAATGGAAAAATAAAACTTTTTAAAATATCAGTTTATTTTAAATGTATCTATAAGCTATCAAATGCTCCAAGGCCTTTATTTTCTTTCCAAAGAACTTAACAATATATCTTTCAAAAGCTACACTGTGTGTGTGTGTGTGTGTGTGTAATACCTATAATGAGGAGAAAACTTCCTTTTGGCAATTATATTAGAAAGAAACTAAACTCTTTCCAATACCTTGAAGAATTTTTCCAAGAGTCATACTTACTGTTCTCTGGCCTCTAATTTTTGGATTGAAAATGAGGATCTCCAAACAAAATGAAAAAAAAAAAGAAAGTAAAATTGAGGAGGTACCGTTAGACTGAAAATACCTCTTTAATCTGTTCCTTCTTTGTCTCCTCAAAACAAGCCTTGAGTAAGCGAAGGTTTTCCACATAAGTAGCCCAACATGTCAGAACTTTCTGTAGAGTGGATTTCACATTATATATATTTTTTCTATACGTACAAATATTATATTCCACCGTGGTATATTCTTTACTAATATCCTGATATTCTCCAGCTATAATGTTAACAAAACAAGAAGGTAATCTCAGAAAACAGTTTATTATTAATAATATCATACTGGTTAGAAAAATATTTACATATTAATTGACAGTGGTGAAATAAATACATACTCTGACAATATTAAAAGTGAACACAAGTATTTTCCAAAGAAAACACATATGTAAAACCAATTCCTAAAACATTAAGGTATAAAGTAAGTGAAACAGATAAAATGCTATTTTTAAGTAATGGTCATTCCATCAAAAAGTAACTGTACAGCTTTACCTAAATTCTTATGGATTTCTTCACATCTCTGAAAGGAAGTTTCAAGTTGAGCTAGGAACTCTTTTTCTTCAATAAATTTCTGGTGGGGGAAGGAAAAAAAATATGTTGACAGTTTTTTACTATTACAAATGTGCCAAGATATCCAGATAGAGACATAAATTTTTTTTTAAAGATTTTATTTATTTATTTGACAGAGAGAGACACAGTGAGAGAGGGAACACAAGCAGGGGGAGCGGGAGAGGGAGAAGCAGGCTTCCCGCCAAACAGGGAGCCCGATGCGGGGCTCAATCCCAGGACCCTGGGATCATGACCTGAGCCAAAGGCAGACGCTTAATGACTGAGCCACCCAGACACCCCAAAATCTATTTCATATATTTATTAATATTGCATAATTTATATCAGTTTCTCTTATTTTGCACATTTTTACTAATACTGAATAACTTTTATTAGACATACTAGAATATGTTATAAATAGATACCATCCATCACACAAAAACATTTGAGAAACTACCACTAGTCAAATTATGTGTCCTATGCAAGCAAATTCTGTTACGGAAAAATACAGAGTTAATTAAAAACTCCTCTATTTATTGTATACTTATTAAGCACCAATGGTATGATTACTTAAATGGAAAAATGAAAAATCAAAGAAAGCAAAAGAAAGAAAGATATTCAAAACCTAGTCAAATTTAGAATGATGCTTCCTATTCAGGAATGTACAGTGTTTAAATCATTCACTGTAAATAAATCTCTCTTCATCGTGTTTTTCAATTTTTGCACCGAAACTTACAGTCTCGGATTTTTCTTTTTGGTCTCTCATTCCAAAAAGAGGGAAACAGAAAAAATGATAAATCCTAACTGTAGAAATGACATTTCTAGGATGCTTTTAATTTACAAATGAACACGTTTATATTTAAATCATTGCAACATTTTTTTCCTACAAATTGCAAGAGCTAAACCCCCTCTCCATAAAAAGCCTCAAGACAAAATGTACTCTTTCCCACTCTTACAACTTGAAAGGCTAAGATAAAATGTTCTGAGAAAAAATTAATTTTTGAATGAAACCATGAATCTGAGTGGGAAAAAATATTTAAAAAGTGAAAGTTGGAATTGTTAATGGAAGTAACGTTGAAACATTTTCTAACTATTATGTTAATTAGCCTGGCTAACTGACTCTCCCCTGGTGAGGTAAATAATGCTGTTTTCTCTTCCTTCCTCCTCCCACTGTCTGTTATTTGACTACCTGCAATTCTGTTCTCCAGGCAGTTTTAAGCTAATGAAAGTTACCAAGAAAACCCATCTCAAAACCTGAAAAGGTGAAGGGAAATTGTGCCAAGGAAAAAATGCATACCCAGCTCCCAGACATTGAAAATACTTGTCTAAGACACAAAATAAAACAGCTTACATGCCAGTCTTCCAGCAACAATTCCACAGATTCTTTGTTCCCATATTTGATGTTCCAAACATCCAACTTTAATTTCACTTCATCCAGCAAACCAAGAACTGAGCACTTATAGTAATGAAATTCTAGACGTGGAATGAATTTTTTCCCCGAAATGTTGTTGATTCTGGAAAATATTGCAGGTTTTAGAGTTTAACTTAATATTATTGACCGAATGTGAGATAATCTATTTGGCATTTCTAAAAATATTGGGTCTTTGGCTTTTTATTTTAAACACATGGAACTCAGATGTATCCTCAAATCTTTTTTTTTAAAGTAAGCTACGCTGCGCCCAATGTAGAGCTTGAACATGACCCTGAAATCAGGAGTCACATGCTCTACCAACTAGGCCAGTCAGATGCCCCAAATCTTCTTTAAAACAAAACAAAACAAAACACACAAACAAAGTAAAACAAACATTGTGGCTAAATATAAAACAACTATTTCTGAGATGAAAACATCTAACAGAACATTTTCTGAAGAAATGATTCCCCTATTGAAAAAAATCCTACACTAAATGTTAATCTCCAAAATATTTTACTAAATTTGTAAACTTTTGTGTAACTGAATGCAACCATAATTTCAACATTTATATATTAAGACAGCTTTCATTATTAAGGCTAACACCCTCTTATTATCATTCTAGTAAGTTACTTATGAATGATGAGAAAAGAGGAGATGATGTGGACAACCATCAATTAAATAATCTCTCTATTTATAGTATTTTGGAGTTTACAAAGTGCTTTCAGATACCTCCTCCCATTTCACCCAGGATCCTTGTGAGACATGAAAAGGGTGATTATCATTATCTTGTATTTACAAATACACTCAGAAAGATATTAACTTTATCAAAACTCAGATATGGAGCTCATTTTCTGACTCCACGTCCAGAATTTTGCCCACCACCATATCCTACCATCCAATAAGAGAGCAAGTATGGTTAGCATGATATACTATTACTATTATGTAAAATGTGAAGGTACTATTCATCAAGATTTCAAAAATACTTGTCAGAAATGATCTAAAAATCTCTAATTTTCTGGTCCCCATGGCTTCGTGTCAGTGCTCAAACATGAATGGTACGAGCAGTTGAGAAGTGCTGGTGTTACAAACCGTCCTTTCATTTCCTCCAATTTCCTAGGTGGTACCAGTGGTAGATGTTGTTCATCTCTACTTTCGAATGCCAGAAGAGTATTCAAATGACAATCAAATTTATCCATCAGATTCTGAAAAGAAATTTAGCATGACATGAACCAGACTTCTTGCCAAACATTGTAACTGGGGGTTTGTTAATCTCATTTGCTCTGGGCATGCACTGCATCATTTTCCAAAAAAAATCATAAAGCCCTTACTTTTTTTTTAACTAAAACTTTGCAAATGAGTATTTTCATCGGAAGTGCTTCAAACTGGAACATTTTACAGAGAGGCAGACCCTAGTTTCTTTGGTAAAAGCATTATCAAAATCTTTTGTTTTTGGATTTTCCATTCCCTTGTATGTTCACATGCTATAAATGTCACATATCAAATTCCTTCATGCCACTGTAGTGAGAACCCAATCTCTCATATTTTAAACCAGTCTCCTCCCTCCTTTTTGTCAGGTTTTACAATTGCTTTAGAACTTACTAGACTCTACCTTATTGTTTCCAGCTTGAACTAGCACAATGCCCATGAAGAAAGCGAAGGTATCTCTGGCTCCCAAAAATCCCCAAGGGAATTGTTCTAAACCAAACTCAAATACCCATTATATTTCCTTCCCTTCTCCCTAGGACAAAGTCTTCCTCAAGAACAGCTCCTAAAGCATAGATTTTTTCCATGTTTCTTTTTTATTTTCCAACCTTGATTAAAGTCATTTTTTCTTGTGTTAGAGCCATGGCTTCACCATAATCCTGGGAAGTTGGCAAGTCTTCATCTATAAGCTCCTCTATCTCTTGGAGCCCGGCTTCGATTTGATGCAGTGGTGAGGGCAAGGCATGATTCAGCTCTGTTTTCCACACATTAATCTGAAAAAAACAAAAATCTGTGCTTCAGTAGACACTCTTCTAAAGTTTACTTCTTCAGGGGCACCTGGGTGGCTCAGTCCGTTGAGCAATTGACTCTTGGTTTTGGCTCAGGTCATCTCAGGGTCGTGAGACGCAATGGGTTCCACACTCAGTGCAGAGTCTGCTTGGGATTCTCTCTCCCTCTTCCTCTGCCCCTCTCCCCACCCCCCCACTCGAGCGTGCTCTCTCTCTCTCTCAAATAAATAAATGAACCTCTTGCTTCCTCAGCCTTCCCACCACTCCCCCCACGCACAGGAATCACACAAACATCAACTACTTATTTCCCCAAACACTTACTGCATTCCCAAGGTGTTCACTCTTGCTGTCCCTTCTACCTGGATTTTTTCCCCCACTAAGCACCATCAGAACTCACTCCCACATTGATTGATTGATTCATTCATTCATTCATTCTGCAAACATTTATTAATAACCTGCTGTGCTGATAGCTGATAGAGCTATAAAAAGCTTCTGGAATGGAGAAGGGGCATGTAATGGTTGCACACCACAGAGTACAGTGCAGCACTTAGACACAAATTAGATGTGCACACATAGGAACAGTGGGGCTTTTTAAATACATGGGCTCAAAAATTTAAGAAGCAGAATAACATATAACATCAATTTACCCAATTTAAAAATACATGAACACATAAATATAATATGTATTTTGCAAGACAAAACAAAACAAAAAGATACACCTTAAGCACATCACAATAGTGGGCTAAGGAGAAAGGGAAATGGAAGGAGGGCATGGGTATAGAAAGAAAGAAACACAAATTAAAGTGAATAAAAGTTAGATTAGGGCCTTGTCCAGACCCATGTGCCATGAACAGAAGAGTAAGTTTAACACAACCCTGTACATCTGAGGGTCAATCAGATAAATATAAAAAAAAACACCCAGAGGTCTTGCCTGAATCCCTTAGTGGGGGAAGCAAAGTACATGGTTACAGTTAACTGTGGTCAGCAATATAACAGAGCCAGACAGAGAGGGCCCAGGGAAGACCCTGGAAGAACACTGATTACACAATGATGCCTGGAATTCTTTTTTTTTTTAATTTTTAATTATTTTTTGTCTTTCAAATTTTTATTTAAATTCCACTTTGTTAATATTCAGTGTAATATCAGCTTCAGGTGTAGATTTCAGTGATTCATCACTTAACATACAACACCCAGTGCTCATCACAACAAGTGCCCTCCTTAATCCCCATCACCCATCTAACCCATCCCCCCGCCCACCTCCCCTCCAGCAACTCTGTTTGTTCTCTATTGGTAAGAGTCTCTTTCCAGGTCTGTTTCTCTCTCTTCTCTGCATCCCCCCCCTGCCCCCCCGCCCATGTTCACCTGTTTTGTTTCCTAAATTCCTGAGGCAAGGGAAACAAAAGGAAAAATGAACTAATGGGACTTAAGGTAAAAAGCTTCTGTACAGCAAAGGAAACAATCAACAAAACTAAGAGGTAACCTTCGGAATGTGAGAAGATATTTGCAAATGACATATCTGATAAAGGGTTAGTATCCAAAATATATAAAGAATTTATCAAACAACACCACAAAAAAACAATAATCCAGTTAAAAAAATGGGCAGAAGACATGAATAGACATTTTTCCGAAGAAGACATCAAGATGGTTAACAGACACATGAAAAGATGCTCAACATCAGGGAAATACAAATCAAGACTACAATGAGATATCACTTCACACCACTCAGAGAGGAAAAAAATAAAATGAAACCAGAGAGGGAGATAAACCATAAGAGACTCTTACTCATAGGAAACAAACTGGGGGTTGCTGGACTGGAGGGGGGTGGGGGGATGGGGTAACTGGGTGATGGACATTAAAAAGGGCACGTGATGTGATGAGCACTGGGTGTTATATGCAACTGATGAATCACTAACCTCTACTTCTGAAACCAATAATACATTATATGTTAATTGAATTTAAATAAAAATTTTTTAAAAGAGTGTAGTAGTTTTTGATCTGAACTCACACAGCTCTATTATGGTTTTTACGGCATTCTCATTCCAAAGACACCCACCCCCATGAAGATCAAGCACAAATTAAAAGGTGTTTCACTCAAATGACTTCCTCAAATGAAAGTATGAGTTTTAAAAAAAAGAAAAAAAAAGTATGAGTTTTAAATCTGTATTTCTCTTTCCATTATAGTTCTACTAAATGAATTGCCACTATTCTTAAAGTTAAATTGATTTTAAATAGAGGAAAGAAAAAGCAAAATTACATTTTTAAAAGAATAGGGTTATCTGATTCATCACTAATTGACTGAAAAACATTTATTGAGTGCCACCATATGCAAGGAAAATATCAAAAAGAAACATATGAGCAAATACCCAAGTATAAAGATATTAAATGAGGAAAAAGCTAGCTCCTTTAAGGAGGTCAAATGGAACTATTCATAAACTAGAAGCATTAAATATAGTTTTCATATTGTTTTACTCTTTTTTTTAGGTTTATTGAGGTATAATTGACAAAACTGCAAGATATTTAAAGTGTAGATCATGGTGATTTGATACACATATACTCTGTGGAAGGATTCCCACTATCTAGTTAATTAACACATCCAATCACTTCACATCTTTTTTTTTTTTTTTGGTGAGAACATTTAAATTCAACTCTCTTAGCAAATTTTAATGCTTTAATGCAGTGTTAATCAAGAATAGCCATCATGTGACCTTACTCAACTTACAGCTGGAAGTTTGTACCCTTTTACCAACTTCTATTCCCTACCCCCCAGCCCTGACAACCAGTTTTCGACTCGCTATTTCTAGAAGTTTGACTTTTTTTTTAAAGATTCCACATGTAAGGAATATCATGTAGTACTTTGTTTTGCTTTAGTTGCTTGCAAGTTTATCTTCTCAAACAACATACGGCAAAAGGCAACTCTACAATTTTAAATCATTAAGTATATGCAATTAAGCCTCCAGCTGGAAAAGAATGAAAAAAATATTTTTATTATGAATTTTTTTTAAACATTTTTTTTTATTTGACAGAGAGAGAGCACAAGCAGAAGGAACAGCAGAAGGAGAGGGAGAAGCAGGCCTCCCGCTTAGCAGGGAGCCTGATGCGGGGCTCAATCCCAGGACCCTGGGAACATGACCTGAGCCGAAGGCAGATGTTTAACCAACTGACCACCCAGGCACCCCATTATGAATTTTTAATATGTTCTTTCATTATAACCAAGTTATTTGTGCATTTGCCAAAATAAAAGAAGTCAGAAAGTTGATACATGACTGAGTTAAAGAGAGTCTAAGAACAATAGCTCTAATTCAACTGATGATCTTTTCACAACTGAAAGAAAGCTGCATACATTTTGGATGGAACGGAACGTGTGCTTTCTGCCTGGGAGCTGTACCCTCTGTAAAGGTCAGAAGGGGAAAGATACAAGATGATATTTACCTTTTATTTCTCTTCTTTCTCACTTACCATAGCAAAAAACTGGCTCCATACTTTCTTAGTTTTGGAAATTACTTTTGTATTTGGATGAAAATTTGTATCTGGTCTGCGCTGATCTTGTCAGGTCAAAATAACAGAATATTGCTATTTTGCATAACTGGCTTAAAATGAAACCATTTACTGTGATGCTCTGAGGTAACTGTGTGCTCAAACAACTGAATCCGAAATTGCCTGGATGGTATTGACTTTTACACACCTGATGCCTTTAAAATTAATGTCTCCTTTGCCACACCAAGACAACAAGCTGTATTATATCCAACTAAGGAATGGATTTTCAAGCTATGATCAATTTGTGTCACTTACTCTTGCAAAATAGTTTTTTTTAATGGATTTTCTCATTATTGTGGGTACTTTTGCCAAATCATATTCGGTAAAATTAGGCCAGGTCTTTGTGTCCTGGAACATCGCGAACTCTACAGACAGTATCTTCTTCCTCTCCTTCCATTTTGTTGAGCACTTGTAACCGAAAGCTCCTGCCCTTTGCAAGGGTCAGTTTCAAAGTTGTGATAAGAACACGAGCTGGGGATGCAATGAGCCCTGACACTTGATGGGAAGGTTTCTGGAGCTATGCCAGTTCTCCCAAATTAGGTACACGGAGAAGGTGACTCTTTTAAGCTACCAGACTATTTAACACCCTTCATAACTGATGTGAAACATCTATTCTGAGAACAGGCTAGCACTCCTGACAGCCAAGAGGCTTGAGCAGGGGTCGACAAATTTTTCCAGGGCCAAAGAGTATTTTTGACTTGTAGACCATAAAATCTCTGTTGCAACTCTGTAACAAATTCACCAAAAATCATTTAACTTATCCATTTAAAATGAATGAATTGTATGGTGTGTAAATTATACATCAATAAAGATATTTAAAAAAAAAAGAATGAAGGCGGGGCGCCGGGGTGGCTCAGTAGATTAAGCATCCAACTCTTGATTTTGGCTCAGGTCATGACCTCAGGATCATGAGATCAAGCCCCACATCCAGCTCCACACTCAGCAAGGAGTCTGCTTGAGATTCTTTCTCTCCATCTCCCTCTGCCTCTCTCCCTGCACGTGCTCTCTCTCTCTCCCTCTCTCTCTAAAATAAGTAAATAAACCTTAAAAAAAAAGAATATAGGCAAAATAAAGACATTCAGAAATCAAAGAAAATTAAGAGAATTTTTTCCGCCAGACCTGCATTACAAGATAAGTTAAAAAAAAGTTTTTTCAGGCTGAAGGGAAATGAGTTCAGATGGAAACTCAAACCTCTAGAAAGGAATGAAGACCACTGGAAATGATAAATATCTAGATAAATATAAGAGACTTTTTTCCTCTTAATTTCTTTAAAATGTATGACTATTTTTAGCAAAAATTTATCACATGGTCTTGGGGACTTTAAAACATATGTTTGTGGCATATATATGTATTTATATATAAAGAAACTATAGCATAAAGAATGACAAATAAATGAAACTATTGCAAGATTTCTACATAAAAATTACGATAACTTAAAAGTTGTATAAGTAGACTGTAAAAAAATTTTTTTAAAGATTTTATTTATTTATTTAAGAGAGATAGAGGGGGCAGAGAGGGAGAGAGAGAAGCAGACTCCCTGCTCTGCAGGGAGCCCGATGTGGGGCTCGATCCCAGGACCCTGAGATCATGACCTGAGCTGAGACCGACTGAGCCATTCAGGCGCCCTGCAGACTGTAATAATTTTTATTTATTTATTTATTTTTTTTTTAAAGATTTTATTTATTTATTTGAGAGAGAGAGAATGAGAGACAGAGAGCACGAGAGGGAAGAGGGCAGAGGGAGAAGCAGACCCCCTGCTGAGCAGGGAGCCCGATGCGGGACGCAATCCCGGGACTCCAGGATCATGACCTGAGCCGAAGGCAGTCGCTTAACCAACTGAGCCACCCAGGCGCCCAAATTTTTAAATGTATACTGTAATCTCACTAGAAATCCGATAGAAAGCAGTAGAGCAAAAAGCCAATAGATAAATTAAAATGAAATTCTAAAAATATTAACATAATCGAAAGCACGGCAGGAAAAGAATAGAGATACAAAAAACAGAGGGAATAAACAGAAAAAAAGAGTAAAATGGTATACCTAAATTGAACCATATTTTTTTTTTTTAAAGATTTTATTTATTTATTCATGAGAGACAGAGAGAGAGAGGCAGAGGGAGAAGCAGGCTCCCAAGGAGCAGGGAGCCCAATGTGGGACTCGATCCCAGGACCCTGGGATCATGACCTGAGCTGAAGGCAGACGCTTAACCATCTGAGCCACCCAGGTGCCCTAAATTGAACCATATTAATATTCCATTGAATATTAACTGACTAAGCTCTCCAACTAAAAGGTAGAGATCATCATAATGGATAAGAAAGCAAGATCCAACCATATGCCGCCCATAAGAGATGCACTTTATTTTTTTTTTTTAAAGATTTTATTTATTTATTTATGAGAGAGAGAGAGAGAGAGGCAGAGGGAGAAGCAGGCTCCCAAGGAGCAGGGAGCCCGATGTGGGACTCGATCCCAGGACCCTGGGATCATGACCTGAGCCGAAGGCAGACGCTTAACCAACTGAGCCACCCAGGCGCCCAAGAGATGCACTTTAAATATAAAGACTCAAATGAAAGTAAACGAAGGAAAAAGATGTATCACACAGTCAGCTTAAGACTGGAATGATCATATTGATATCAGATTAAGTAGACATCAAAAACACCAGTATTACGAGAGATAAACAAGAATATTTCATAGTAATAAAAGTGTCATTCATCAGTGTCATTATGATAACAATCATGTGTGCACAACTAATAACAAAGTTTTAAAATACATGAAGCAAAATCCGACAGCATCGAAGGAACGATTCTATAGATTTTAATAGCCCTCTCTCGGCAACTGATAAAACTAAGCAAAATGTCAATCAAGACATAGATAATCTGACACTAGCAACCATCTTTATCTTAACTGATATCCGTTGAATGCTATATCAAGGGCACCTGGGTGGCTCAGTAGGTTGGGCATCTAGCTGCCTTCAGCTTAGGTCATGATCCTGTGATCCCGGCGACCTGGGATAGAGCCCCACTCAGGCTCCCTGCTCAGCAGGGGAGTCTGCTTCTCCCTCTCCCTCTGCCGCTCTCCCTGCTCATTCCCTTTCATTCTCTCTCAAATAAATAAATAAAAATCTTAAAAAAAAAAAAAGAAAGAAAGAAAGAATGCTATATCAAATAACTACAGAATACACATTCTTTTCAAGGGCAAATGGTATGTACATCAACATGCACTACATCCAGGGCGCCTGGGTGGCTCAGTTGGTTAAGCGTCTGCCTTTGGCTCAGGTCATGATCCCAGGGTCCTGGGATCGAGCCCCACGTTGGGCTCTGCTCAGCAGGGAGCCTCCTTCTCCTTCTCCCTGCTCCTGCTCTCTCTCGCTATCTCTGTCTCTCTCCAATAAATAAATAAAATCTTAAAAAAAAAAACAACATGCACTACATCGTGGGTCATAACACAAATCTCAATAAACTGCAAACAACTGAAATCATATAGATATATTCAGACACACATACACATTCATCTTCACACATTCTCTCTAGGCTTGTTCCTAACCCCCTTCAAGCATCTATTAATAGTGACACATGACCCTGGTCCATCATAGAGATGAGGCTGCAGGTCAATCAGAATATGGATAATCTACTGTGGCAAACCAATCATTGATGGCAAATATAAAAACTTTGGATAAGCAGTTTCTCTAAGTAGAATACTGTAAATTCCTATTAAATATCAATCACTACCCAAATGATGCCATGGAGAAAATAAAAGAACACTCTTCCAAATTTCTAATGTACCATCTACTCTTTTACAGAATTCCTCATGGAAGTCTAAAGTAATCATCCAACAAACAAAGCTGCCTCATGAAAATGTTCTTTCAATCAATATAACACAGTAACCTGGTAGGTGAGGCCATCCCAGGCTTCTCTCAACTGTAACTGATCTTCATTCAGCTCATCGAGATTCCTTTTTATTGGCAGGATGTCCAAAAAGGGCTTTTTTTCTTCATTGAATGACTCCAAAAAGGACAGCAGACTCTACAATCAGAAAAATATTTTCAAGACAGAAATTTCAGATCAGTTTCTGAAATGTAATCCGCTATGTAAAGGTCTATAGGTGTAGGTTACATTTAATTGTTACTTAGATAAAGGTAAAATTCCCTGACTTCCGGATCCTCTCACTGCTCTGGTATCTTTCATCAATGCACCCTGATCATCTGAGTGCCATCACAGTAACAACAGGTCACAGCTTGTGTCTCGGGTCAGTACTGTTGGATTTCTACTGGAAGAGAGTGCCCAGGTCACCCAGCTCGACAGGACAACTCATGATGCCACATGGAAAATGTGAGTTTGTTTGTCTTCCCCAAATATGGATTCACGACAAAATAAGAATGAGTATAAGTAAGAACTATATGGTAGCAGCGATCCCATGTAAACGTGTGATTAACTGCACCTGAGCCAGTTCTTCCCAAGTCATTTTATATAGACCTTAGAAAATACTTCATCCCTGCCCTCAAAAATTTAATAAATAAAGCTTTCCTTGGTTCGGATTTGTGTGAAATATCAGTGTTGAAGAGTCATCAATTCCATAAATATTATTTCAAACATTATTCATAAAAATTGACAGCATTTTCAGTTATATTTTATGAGTTGGGACACCTGGCTGGCTCAGCTGGGACAGCACGCAACTCTTGATCTTGGGGTCATGAGTTCGAGCCCTATGTTTGGAGTAGTTTACTTTTAAAAATAAATAAATAAATAATTTTTTTTTTAAAGATTAAGTTTTATGAGCAAACCGGGGGATAATTATTGTAATTCTTTCTGATCATTAATAACTTCATAAGGCCTTTTTAGAAACCTGAATCTGTGGTCCATTACTAAATCAAGGACGTATGTGCGAGCAAAGCACTTCCAGTGGACGCTTAGCATCTTGTCAGTAAAAAACATCAGGCCAACGGCACCTGGGTGGCTCAGTCGGTTAAGCATCTGCCTTCAGCTCAGGTCATAATCCCCAGGCTCTGGGATCAAGCCCCAAGTTGGGCTCCACAGTCAGTGGGGAGTCTGCTTGTCCCGCTCCCTCTGCTTCTGCCCCTCCCCCTGCTTGTGCTAGCGCACTCTCTCTCTCTCTCAAATAAATAAATAAAATCTTTTAAAAAAACCCATATTGGGCCAGAACAGAGATGGAAGAAGCACAAAAGCTGATGCAGTTCAGATGAAAGTAAGATGAGACTGTCCCATCCCCTTTCTTCCCTGACGCCTCTAAACCAAAAAGGATGCTATTGCCAGCAAGTCACACAATCCACCGCATGGTACGGTTGGGAAGGCTGGATTCGTCCAACTCCCTCAGACAGGGAAACAGAGCTTGGAGGTGTTAAGTGCTGTGCAGGCAAATGAGAGGGTGTCTGCTTTATTCAGGACGGAGGACTAGTGTGGAGCAGAGTTGCAGAGAAAGTGGGTTCTGAGAAACGGGGCTGAAGAGCCCTCACCTTGGCTCCTGTTAGTCTCTTTCAAGACAGTACAAGAAGCAACTGCCTAACCTGGAGAAGCCCCAGGACATAAAGAGAGCTAGGGCTTCAAAGCCAGACTTCACTCAAATCCCAGCTCTACCTCTCAGTAGCTACGTGACCTCAGACAAGTCGCTTCGTGCCTCTAAGTCTTGTGTTCATCTGTAAGGCTAGAATAGCAATACCACTCTCCATAAGATGCTATGACAGGTAAAATGCTGGCCGGCAAGGCGCCTGGTACAAAGCAAATGTTCAAACGCGGGGACAATAACACGTGTCAATTTTCCTCGGAGGACACCTTGATTGGGGCCCTATCTTGTTATAATTCGGGGTTGGCTTCATTTCTGATTTCCTGATCTTTTTTGCATTCAATATTCTTTCTGCGGGCGCCTGGGTGGCTCAGTTGGTTGAGCGACTGCCTTCGGCTCAGGTCATGATCCTGGAGTCCCGGGATCGAGTCCCACATCGGGCTCCCTGCTCG